CCACTCTCCCAACAAACCGGGGTTCCACTTTGCCAAGACGGATCTCCGACTTTGACTACGGGAAGCCTTCCGTGTAGCATCGTGGTTTCCTCTGTTTGCGCGGAATGTATTGTTAATTTCAGCTGGATAAACTTAATTCAAACCCCAAAGCTCTGGGTAAAACATGCTCGAAATACTTAATAATTTCAAATGCATTGCCAGTAAGCTCAATCTATACTGACTTCCAAGTCGTAGCTTCTTAGTCTAGATTGCCAGACTATGTTCGAGTTTATATGAGTTCTCTACACCATCCCATAGGTCATAAGGGCGTGGGCCTATACATATGTATATTACTAAACTAAACACGCGAAACCCAAAGTTCCTTACCTGGCCGTAGGAATTCTCTCATCACATTACTTGACAATGTTGTATGTATATCACCACGTCGTATTATACCAATACAAAATGGTATTGCTAAAGGCATCTATAAATTCAAGGTTCAAGGAACGGGGCGGAACACACGATAGATCATGATAGAACCACCTTCGTCCATATTTTGCTTCACTGAATCCGATTTCCGTATCAATACCCCCAAGTCTATATTTTCCATGTCCAGTACTGGCATACCTTGCGGTTCCTAATCATCAAGTCAGATGCAAAGTTGACATCCCGTTGTATTCCCTCGCGAACAAACCGCAAACCCCGTATAACTCCAGAACCCCGCTATATGCCACCAGTGCTAGTCGTAGCCCTCATGACGCCGATGCTTCCCTCGAAATAAACCAGATCCTGACCATGCATATCTTCATTTTCATAATCCTTTTTGTCATGTCCCTTTAGTTATTTGAGCCTCCTGCTCCGCCGTTGACCCCGCCAGTATCGTTCAGTCTCTCCCTCTGTACCATGACCCGTTCGTTACATATGTCGATAAACATCTCGAACTTCTCAATCATTTTATCTTTCTCCCGTAGCTTCTCCTTCAGCTCTTCTACTTCTTTCCTGCTATCTTCTTTAACCCGGGATAGTTCCTCCTTGGCCCGGGCGAGCTCTCGCCTAAGGTCGGACCGTATGCGTTCCTCGGCGGATGGGGCTGGCTTACTATATATCGCCGGCCGCTGCTCTGCGATACCTGCCTCTACTTTTTGCGGGTTTCGATTTATCGCAGCACGCGCATTGTAAATATCCCTAGGGAGCAGAGGTACATGCGGGTTCTGCTGCTGTAGAATTTCGAGAGTTTGAGTAACGCCAATACCTAAAATGAGTCAATACGATAGACACGACGACTCGAAGCCCAGACTTACCAGATTCTTTTAAGTTTTTAACGGCAGCAACCATCTCGCTATCTAATTTCCTCGCAGCTGGGTGAAGAAGCGGGCTCTCACTAGGGCCATGGTTATGATGGAGGTGGGTTTGGTCGGGACGATAGCGAATCGTCCACTGCGTTCTCTGTTCGATAGCAAAGAACCCAAATTGGCAGTTACACTTGCGAGAAGACGTCTTCCGTTTCCTATTTTCAGGGCTTACCCGGCTTGGAGGCTTTCCAGCACGGTCACATACGAAAAGGACCTTCTTTAGACCTGGAACGGTCTTCTTCGATCGTCCAATAACTACAGCATATCCCACCGATGTGCAATACGCGAGCACGTGCTTGTGAACAGCATCAAGACTAGGAAAACTACCCCCTTCAGGCGGAGCGGACATCATCGTGCCCATCGGCGTCCTCGGTACGAAGGGTGTTCCTTCGATGAGCTTAGGCGAAATGTGACTATCTCCCTCTCCCTCCTCCCCTTGACTGTCCATATCCATATCATCATGGTGCTGAGCTTCCTGCGGCGGGACGCTTGGTTCTGGCCGAGGGGCTGGCGGCGGTTGGCTCTGTGGTTGAGGGGTCGGCTGAGGCTGCAATGGCGGCGGAGGTTGCTGATGAACTTGAGGCAGAGGCTGAGGGAGTGCCTGCTGGTGTACTTGCGAATGTGCCTGTTGATGTGCCTGTGTATGAGCCTGGGGATGAGCCTGGGGGTGCGCCTGGGGGTGGGTTTGCGAATGGGCTTGCGGGTGAGGTTGATGATGCGGAGGGTTTGGAGATATCAGATTGCTGTCGTTCGGTTGAACAGATGGGGTTGGTTGGACCTGTTGAACAGGTTGCGACTGAACTTGCTGTGGTATCGACTGAGGGTGCGGCATCTGTAGAACCGGCTGTGGCACTGACTGGGGTACCTGCTGGACGGATTGGACAGGCTGGTTCATGGCTTGCTGGAGATATGCCATTGTGGTTGGAGGTCCCGGCTGTGATTGCATCTGACGCTGCTGGCTACTTCGTTGGTGCTGAGAGTGCTGGTGCTGGTGTTGATGCTGGCGAACGGCCTGCACAGCAGCTTGGGCATGCTGAGCAGCCTGAGCCGAGGCGTGTCTCGAGTTGCCATTTGGTAAGTTAGGTAGACTAGCGACGTTGGGTACCGGAGACGGGGTGGTGCTCTGGAAGAGATGTTGCGGGTAGGCGGCCTGCGGGGGTTGCTGGGGAGTATATTGAGCAGCCTGGTACGGGGATTGGTGTTGCTGAGGCGTGGGAGAAGGTTTCGGCGGCGTGGACGAGTGTGAAGATGGATATCCTCCGCGTCTGTTGAGTCCGTTGACCTGCGGGAAGGTCAGGCCCGGATGGGTGTGGGAGCTGGACCCGGGCTGGCCCAAGGCGGACATGACGGAGGGGAGGAAAGACGTGGGAACAAAAAAACACTACAAACGCTCCAGACTAAAAGACGGGAAGGCGAAAGGAAGATTCGGGAAGACCAAGAGGGCCCAGAATACAACGACAACCGATAACGACAACCGACAACGAGCCTAGCACTAACGAACTAGGATAGGAACGATGTGATGTCAACCCTGGCCGTTTGGCAGATACAATGCCTATGTTAATGTATGGTATCTAAGGTAAGGTAGGGGGAAAGAAAAATATGGCGGGTGTGGAAATATCACGACACGATCAACATGATAAGGCTCAAGGCTTACCAGGGCTTAGCAGGGGGTGGAGGAGGGGAGGGCAGGTAGTGGTAAGCACGGGTGTGGTCGAAGAGAATCGGTGGTGGATTTCCAGTGAATTTCTTGGTCTTATCAGCGGGAAAAAGACTTGGTAGTGGGAGTAGTGGGAGTAGGTAGTGGGAGTGGGAGTGGGTGAAAGATCGATCTACTTGTTCTTGTTCGAGGCGCACTAAGCTGAACCGAGTTAAAACAAGGAAGGAGAGATCGAGGAAAGTGCGAAACGGCGCGCGATTGGGGGGTGGGTGTGGGAAAGAGGGTGAGAAGAATGAAAAATAAAAAAATGCAACAGCCCTCGCCAAGGAAAGGACAACACAAATATTCTGCAATTTCTGCAATTTTGTAATTTCTATATTACTTGTACTTTGTTGTTATTTTAGGTATTCTTGCTTTTCCTTTTGCTACTAAAATTTAAAAGGACCCGAGGCTCCGATAATGAACAGACTGTTCACAACTACACGCGCAGCTAATAAATAAAAAATAGCAGCAGCCCGAGTACCTTAAAATACCTACCTACCTTAGGGCCCTACCTACCTTACGAATGTTAGGTACACGTAAGATTTGGGTCCCGATAGGTTGTCATAGGTCGACATCACTGGTAGGTATTTTTAAACAGCGGATACTAATATAATATGTACATACATGCGTTTGCAAAGCCTAAAAATTGAATGTACTACATACCTCTTGCACTACGGAATATGTATGTACTTGGACCGTTGGTTAAGACCGTTGTCTAATCTATAATAGGCAATGAATGCTAATGCGACCCTTAGGTAAGTTAGGTACCTAATAATAGGTAATACAAGGCTAATAATACAAGGCCAATAAAGACAAGGTACAATACATGCCGAACGTTATGCACAAAATTGCACCTTACCCTTTTGTCTTGCATGGGCAACGGTTTTATGTCTGCTTATGTATTAATTCAACGTGCACAAGACAACATCAAACAGGCAAAACAATATTTCGTAACTACATAAAAAACAACATCTCGAATCAATATAATAATATAATAATATGATTTTCAATTTCAACCTCGTCAATTTTGATTTCCTACCGGCCCCAACTGATGTTATTCTTAGCGTCCATTCATAAGTGATCACGAATATCTTTTCTCATCAGTCCCTTCTGCATAGGCATACGGCAAGGTGGTAGCTTAGCTATGTAGCTGATGTGTCCCCTCTCTCCTCTTCTACCTAGAATACCACATGTGCGGTCTGTTGTTTGCTGCTGTCTGGTTAGTACACGTCGATGCCATTGGCCCCGAATAGTCGATTCATCCAATCCAGTTTAAGTGAAACATTAAGCACATCAGGCGGTGCGCATCGCTGTACATACATGCCTGTGTATTCCGAGATGGGCTAGATGGCAAGATGGCAAGCAAGATGGGTACAGTGACAACAAGCCGGAAAAGAAAAAAACGACTTGTCGACTTGTCAACATCCCATCAACGTGCCTAATCACGTCCACACACATCTATCCTGCGCGTACCCGCATGCTACATCGCTACCTTATTAGAGGATACTACCATAGAAAAATAGGCCATGATACTTCCGGAAATAACAATTTGTTCTAGATTTTATCGTTACTTTTACCTTTTTTTTTCTTCTCCACAGGCTCATTTTCCAGCTCGGCCTTGGACGTCTTCCTCTGCCAGCCTTGTGGGGAGTCGAACATTCTCGATCGACACAGTTCAAGAAATCAAGGAATCAACTTGAGACCGAATGAAACCATAGTTGCATCAATCATTTCGAGGCTAAGGTGAGCAAATTCGAGGGCACATTATTGACATGTTTGTTGGTGTCCTTGTCGAATTGAAATCGCCTTGAGGAGAGTTTGCTTCGGATATTCTTCTACTATTTCTACTATGTAAGTTTCAACAGCTGGGACCATCTGATTCGAACCAGACTTTTATGCATTTCTCTTATGCATTTGCAGTGAAAGAAAGATCCTCAAATTAGCCCAAGTAATGAAACTTTTCTAAAGGGAAAAAAAAAAAAAAAAAAAAAAAGGTATTGCATATGCGTTGGTGGCTAAGCTGAGGCTTGCTATTATCGCCTTCAAACTCAACTTGCCTCCGCTATTGGGCGCCAGCCTTAACTCTCAAGACCTCAAACTCAAACTGCGGTATTCCTTCCCGTAGTTGGGCATAAACACAATCAATGCGATCAATGCGACAGGGTTAGATGGATGTCGTTTAAGCTCATCCGGGTTTTCCCCATTGTGTGTGATACGACATAGTCGTCATAGCCAACTTTAATTCTAGACTTTCTTTAATCTCTCGCCTAGTTATCCTATCCTATCCTATCATATACTATCCCTCGACCCCCCAACCCCCCAACCCCCCTACTCTTTTACAATGGCCGGGTGGGAGAGCCGCAAGAAAATTCATGAGTGGAGAATCATGCAACATCGAGGCCGTAATAAAGTCCTAAAGGCATCAAAGGACCCTATCGCGCGAGCCCGGCTCTGTGCCGAGATCCCGTCCCCGAAATCCGCAGGACTCCACATTTCAGAGTCGGATCGAATCTCGGCCTTGATGTCCCTTCCGGCATTCCTCTTCAACGGCCCCGCAGTAGATTCCGGACAATCCCAGATCACTAGCCAAGGGTGTCAATCCTTCCTTACCACTTTTCCAGCCGAGGTCCGGAACATCATATACTACTACGCCATCGGCTATCCTACATGTCGAAGACTATACGACTACTACTACGACCAGAAGGAAAAGGCTAAAGCTGGGATTGAGCTGCGACTACGCTCTGCTAATACCAAAGTATCGCGCCACTCCAAGGTCATTCTTCAGACGCCTACCATCCTCCTTCTTTGCAAGCAGATAACGAGAGAAGCACTCAGTCTCCTGTGTTTCCAGCCCTTCGTCATCGACTGCATCCCGCCCTGGATCATGGGCAACCCATCACCCCTCTCCATAGTCAACTTCATCAGCAGAGCAACATTGCAGAATCTTCGATTCGTCCAAATCAAAATCTCGCTCGGTGATAGTTGTGAGTTCGGAAGCGGGAAGGTCTGGCTTAGGCTACTGAACGACGTACTGGATGCCTGGTCGGAACGCAATTCGCTCATTCGATTAGAAGTCATGTTCAAGCTGTCGCATGTCACCAGGCCTAACATGTGGATCTACGAGCTGGACGATTACGAAAGGCTTGTGGACAAGGCAAGTGCCCCAGTAACGACAACATCGCTGACGTGGGCTTACGATTCTCTAGCTTAGCTACTTCGAGTTCAAACACGGATCAAAGCCAGGCTTGATTCGTTGGGAACATTGGGTTATAGATTTCGACTATGCTTATCGAGTCGGGCATAGAAGTGAGTCGCCAAAAATGACCACCCTTTACAGAGATACCCAGGCAGCTAACTGATCATAGATCCCTTAGTTCGTGTACATCCTGACCCATACATATGGCAAGGGAGCGTTATCGAATGGCTCTAAGCAAGTATCTGACGTTTAAAACTACGGCTATATAGCCCATAATGAAGTCCCTCCATATCGAGAGGAGTACGAATATCACGAAACGGGATAAAGGCAGGAACAAATGGATTTTACAGACATGTCCGCACGACCATACGGCGTTTGGAAGGCATATACCCAGGCTATTATTTAGTTTCTACGGCGAGCTTTTCTTTTCTCCAGATAATCTTATAATACTTTCTCGATGAGATGCCATAGCTAAGAATGATTTATTTATTTACCTACCTTACACTACGCCGACGTATATTAATATTAATATTAACTCATGGAGATCTTATAATAATAATAATACGTCTATTATAGGTCTAGCGGCTTGATCATCTCGTGGAATACCTACCTATGCTAAAGTCTGACCCGAACCAGCTACCTGTAACCCAGAGCCAGACATTCCTGTGTAACACTCAACTTACCAACACCACCCGGTTTCTCCTATCCTCCCATCTAAGAAAAGATCTCGTTCCTCCCGAGCGATCCCTCCGGGTCCCTACGCCTTCAGCCGCAGACCCTACCTAACGTACCTAGGTACCTAGGTAAGTAGCCAAGACCACCACATCTCTAATAGCCTTTCATCCCCCCGCAAGTAAACCCATCCCATCCCATCCCGTCCCGTCTCGTCTCGTCCAACCCTGCCCCGCGCTCTTCGGACGACGCCGAGCGGGCATGTAACACTGCGCGCACACCGCACTCCTAACCATACCGTTTCCGGACCCCGAAGGAAGCGATCCCGCGTACGTAAGCCCTGCCCCCCCCCCCCTCCCCCCAAACGCCATGGGCCCCCCAGGCGGCGTGTAATTGGGCGGTGCTGGGATTAAATATCTCCGGTCAGCCTTACGACAGCAAACCCATGGATTCCTGAAGGAAGCAAGAGCGCCTATGTACATAGGTAGGTACCTATGTAGATACCACATCTACCCTCCTTCCCCTCCCCCTTTCTCCCTCCCTCGCGATAGGTACTACCTAATCTGATCTGATAGCGGGACCGCCAGACCCTAGCCCTATGTATGAGGTAGGTATGCACCTCGCTTAGTAAGGCATTATTATGCCGTGCGCTGAGAGACTACCTAAAGGTGTGGCGTTTCCCCCCTCTAGCCCCTTATTCTGCTGAGCACAGCAACTGGGTCTAATCTCGATCCCGTTCGGGGGTGTATTCCAAGCAGTGCTACTATCTAAACAATTTACGAAGGAATAAGTCAAGTTACCCATTGGCCTTTCGGGTATGTACATTTACTTCACACAGCAGTCGATGAAACAGATATTGTGCAGAATAAATCAAAAACGCTACTTGGTTAAACACGGACATTGTAGAGTATGAAGTTCGTAATCGTGTATATCCAGTCCAGCTGTAGATCACATCCTGCTGGTGTAGAGTGCCTTTTGGCCTAGATCTATCTTCTATATACGCAGTGGTATCTCTAAAAATCCCGTCCTAAAGCCCCTAGCTAACGGCGAGAAAGAAAGAAAAAAAGCAACAAGCGTAGGGTTTAGAAGAGAAGAGAAACGACGAAGAACCACCCAAATGAATCGAGAACCCAGACGCCTAACTAATGCTGAATAAAAACCAAATTATAGATTCATTGCCTTTCATGTATCATCTCTCACGTCCTTGGTGCATCTACTCTGCTGGAGAGTACTTCTTTCTCTTACTGGGTCTCCGGCCTGTCTCGTCGCCAACAAAGTGATTCTTGTCGATTTGGTGTTGGCGTAGGTTATCCTGGCGGTTCTTGTATTGACTATTGCATCCAGGGAAAGGGCATTTATAGATTACCGGTGGTCCAGTTGAATGCTGCATCTTCTTGTGCTTTGCCATACTGCCTTTGAACCATTGGGGGTCCCCCTTCGGGCGGTATCCACAAATATCACAGGCGTCATTTGCTTCCACTTTCTGAGCCGAGGAGGATATCGGCTTCAGTGGTAGTTCGACGTGGGCCGGCGATAGAGGCTTCGGTCGAGCGGGAACAGTAATCGATGGCGAGAAGCCAGTCGAAGCCGCAAACGAATTGTCGGGGGTTTCGGTGTGAGAGGCGGTTTCAGCGAAAGCTTCGGTCGTAATCGTCGGGGGTGGAACACTGGAACTGATATCTTGAAGGTCGAGGGGGCCAAGCTCCGGGTTAAAATTTGGAGTACCAGTGAGCCCCGTTTGACTTTGCTGAGAAGGACCTGTGCCAAGATTCACGAGAAACTCTCCTTCAATACCAGTGGTGTTATCAAAAGGAAATGTATCGAGAAATTGGTCGTACGTTGATTCAGGTAGGTCTAATGAATACCCGGTAGGATTTCCTTGAATATGCTCGGGACCAGACGCAAATGTTTGAATAAGAGCTTCTACCAACGATATTCCTAGAGCCTGGTATCCTGTTCTTGATTGAAGTCCCTGTTTAGAGTAAATCGGATCACAAAGTCTCCTGACTTGCGGGATGAATTCGTTAAAGAGGTCGGAAGAGTCTAAAGAGTTCTGTCGTCCTCATTGTTAGCTAGTACACGAAGAGTAATTCATGGCATAAGTCGAGCTTTTTGATACCGAAAGCGACCATTCCGACTGGCTCGAGAAAAGCCATCTATCATTCGTATCTAGCGTGGGGGAAACTTACTTTGCCGGCTTGCAACATCGCAAGTTCGAATTTGCGAACGGTGGTGATCTCCCCAACACGAACCTTTTGCCCAATTTCGCCGAGTCTTGGTAGTAGCATATCAGAATGTCCGAATCCCGAACTTAAACTTTGAATAATATAATTGGCCGTTATTAAAAAAGGACTGTCGTCTAAAGAGCCTGGGTGGGTTTCCGCTACATGGGTGGAATAAAGGTGAGATGTGAAAACCTCATCTGATTTCGGTGGACCATTGGCTATGACGGAATTTTCGAGGTCTATTGGTGCGGTTAGCGGGATTGTGTAGCTAACACCATAGATGTGACTTACCATCAAGGAAGTTCTGCCCTACGGCAACAAGAGGATCGGTTTCCAAATGGATCCTCGGGCCTGTTCGATACTCGGGTTCTTTACCCTTGGAACTTAACGATCCATCTGCACAGTCTCCTCTAAAGACATGCGATTGTTCCCCTGGCATCGGCTGCCAGATTGCTACTACGATCTGCGTATAATATTCACGATGGGCTGGCCCAAGGAAGCGTCGGTAAGTAAGAGCTTGTTGGTAGAGTGTGCTACAACGAGTTGAAAGTTCGCTTTCGTAGATTACGAGGGAGAGAGCATAAATAAGATGTATAAAGCAGATGTAATCAAACGGGTCTGTAGGATTACCTCCCTGCAGCATTCTCCTCAGGCTCGAGAGACCGTTTAATGCCACGGCTTTCGGTGATTGTGTTTGAAGTTGCTCGACTAACGGATTTCCTTCGACGTGCGATAGTTTATACCTTGAAGATGTGATATGTTCTTGTAGGGCGTCCCATGCCGACTCAACAAGGGTCTTGGTCTCTGGGCTGCGATCTGATGGCTCGAGAAATCCTGACGGCATACTCGTGGGCTTGGTGTTAGGTCCCGTAAACATCATATTGACGGAAGTCGAAAGCGAGATCTCCGTATTTACAGACTGCATCCATGAGTAATTATCCTTTGGCTCAAAAGAGAACATCAACGGATCAGAGAGTCCGCGGGGTATGGATAACAAATCATCACCTGGTAGTTCAGACATGTCGTCGACCATGTAGTCACACCTGTCGTCCGGGCATGGGGATGTGGGCTTTGCTGTATTTGAGATATCTTCAGACCGGGATGCCGGTAGAAAGTCACTTGGACTCAAAGGTGTTATTGGGGATGTCATCGCCGTATCAATACTTGAGCCCATAGTCCAGGCCCCGGAACTGCTTGAACCTGCGCTCCATGGAGTAATTGGTGAAATGTTATGCGAGCTTTTTGTTGATCGAAGCGACGAGCTCGGAGAAAGGCGTTTCGTACGGGGAACGTTCCTGTAACGGTCTATGTGAGTATCTAAGGCCAATGACGGTCGGTTGCCCCCTGGGTTTGTATGTGTTAAATTAGGCGGAGGCATGGAACCGTCTTGATGATGTTGTTGCGTTAAGTAGGGCGCTAAAAGCTCACTGTGCCTCGGAAGTATAGTTGTTTGGGAGGGCATTGTAATCCCCGGTGTAGCATTGTGCTGTTGATCTGGGGTCGTGTGGAAATCTACGGGTTGTGTGGCATAGTTGATAGGATCGAGTTCAGCTGTCGGCAGCATCTGTCTAGAGTCTAACTCATGTATTTCTGTACCATTTAGTTCTATCTGGGGACGAGGCTGGTGCTGGTGCTGCTGGGACTGGCCTTGGTGCTGCTGACGCTGTTGCCGTTCACTTTGCTCTTCCAGGTCGATTACGAGAGAATCGTAGCTGGGGGGAGGTGCTGTAATATCTTCTTGGAAGTTAGAATGCGGTGCCCTTCGTGTCTTGTTGCCTATATTCGAGAAGAAGTTTCTGGCTATGTTGATAATACGTCTTCGTTTGGTCGGGTGACCTATACAACACCGACATTTCCCATCGTTATATCGTTCGATTTTCATGCAGTCGTAGCATACGTATTCACCAGTTTTGAGGTGTTGGCATTTAGTCAGATGTCTTAGCATTGCTTCATGGTTGTCGAATCGCTCTCCGCACAAGAGGAGAGGGCATTTTAGACGTTCGCTTGCTGCCATTCGAACCGATTTGTTTCGCTTGACGGCTGCCCATACGATGAATCTCTGTAATGCACATTCCTCCCCTGGAATCTCTCGAGTCCTTGAGAGGTTAGTATACTCAGAACCATGGTAATATCCCATCGCTACTCACGCGCATGGCGATGGTGCCTGTGGGTTAGATTCCGATCGCAAGCTCGAGTTCGACCGTCGCCTCGAGTCGAGAGAAGGAGACGGTACCGTGGCATGGTGCCCGACCGGCGGGTCTAAATCGAACAAAGCATCATCATCAATAGAGGCCGACTCAGTAGTGGCAAGGCTCTTTTTCGGATCCATTGCTGCAACAGAGGTCTGAGGTCTGATCTATAGACTAGCACTTGAGCGGAATGAGAGAGGTCGGGGCCAAGCGGATCGCCACCGATCCATGACTTTATTTTGAAGGATCTAGAAATTTGTCTACTACCCTGAATATGACGATGTAGGACTTTTTGGTACTGGTGCAGGTGCAGCAGTACTTGTACCCTAGGACCAGCGGTAACGAAGACCGACTAATAAGAACACATCTAGCCATCGGCGACCACTAACAGGCTCCCTCAGAACCTCCCCTTGCAATTACTATCGGCAGTGCGTTTATCTTACCGTTCGCGGCTCACAGGGCTGCATGAGAGTGCGAGCGATGGAGTTGGGGTCCAAAATCCGACTCGGTGAAGTACGCAGGCAACAAGGCAGAATGGACCCCAAATTACGCCTTGTACTCAGATGCAAAAGCCAGCTGAGTGGGAATTGCTTGCTGACTGCAGGACTCGGGCGTGGTCCAATCAAAAGCACAACGTGAAAAGACACAATTGCTTAAGGATAAAGCCAGAACGCGACGCTATTCGAGCTTGAAAGATCTAATGCGAGTCCTTTCATCAAACCTCTCGGGTTTAGACGTATGGGTGCTTTAGTAAATATCGGGAGCCCCTTGGAAATTCTCTTGATGAACGGGAAGAGTTCTCTCCAAAGGCAACCCAAGACCACAGAATCGTGGTAGCACGACCTACCGGGAAGCTGTTGCGAATATTTTGCATTTTCGGGACATGAACTTGTGTTCTCAATTGGTTTAGGGTATCTCGGGGATCCCATGATCAACACCATGATCAATAGCTTTCGGCCATGCACGATGCCTCAGCTTCCGCTAGATAGGTGTGAAAGCGGCAATCGAACTCAACATGAACTCAACATGAGCCATGTTTATTGCATCACTATATTCTAGAGGCCTAGAGAAAAACTAACGGATGCGGTGTCCGGGGGTGGCTTGATATGGTGAGATGGTGATCCATCACCGCCTTGTAGGGCTGGGAAAAGATGACAGAAGCGACATGGGGTTGACGGGGATAAGGGACATTTTAGGAACTTGTCGTGGAGCTTAGGCCATGCCCCGGACTTCTTTTGTCTCTTACGAGATATGTGGCGCGATGTGGCTAGTCAGTGGCTGAGACGGCTGATTCCGCAGTAGGTACCTAGGTACCTATCTATGTAGAAAGTCCAGGAACTCTTCCTTCCAGAAGTCATACCTACCTATGTAAGTCATGAAGGATCAGGTCTTGTTTACATAAGGGGTAGGACTTACAAGTTTTAGACCTGCATCATATGCAACTTCACTTGATCAGTAAAGATGGATATTAGCATAGCATAACGTTAATAGTTTATTCAAGAGTAAATTCCATAACTGAGCTCGGCAAAAGTCATTCGGTATCCGATACATTAACTAACCTAGCTGATTTAATAGTTACTAGGAGATGTTCATATCAACTTCTCCTTTCTACGACAGATACATTTATTCGAATATTAGCCAATTCTATTCCGTCTTGATATATAAACCTCGGGAATACAAGCCACACGAAAAGAAGGATTGATTTGGTGGCTTTACTATTGGAATTCCCGTCTTAATTCAGTCGTACGTACGGATCCGTAGTCTTCATGGCGTAACCGAAAGGTCGGTAAGTCCCCTAAATCGGCTTCTTATGTTGCATCTTTTTTACGTCGCAATACCGAGTGCATATGCAAGCGGGTCGGTCTCATTTATCAGTATGCGGTCGTAGATATGTGTGCCGTGTCATTGGACTTGTCTACTATGTATGTAGTATTTCCCGTCCGGCATCGACCAGTTTGCAACTCCAGTTGCGCAATTTTTTGGTATCTTATAGAGGGCAGAGAGGGCCGACCTTGTTGATCATGACGCATCTATTGGGGCTCTTACGGGGGAAATGGGGTTTGTTGGTCTCGAGTTAATTCGCTACCAGATCTTACGCGTTCAACGTTTCAAGAGACGCAACCCAAGTCTGACTCCTGCTCCTCATCTGGCCCCCCCGCGCTTTTTGTGCCGGGGGTCAGCTCATTTCTTATCAATGGCAGGATGGCTATCCTCTGAATGGATCTTGGCACTACCGGATGAGCATCATGGGATTCACCGTTCCACCCCACGAGGAAGAGCGAGTTTTGACAGCTCTTGTTAGCTTCAAATTCGGACGTCGGCCACACCGGGGACGGCCATTGATCTTCCCATCTAGCCCAACTAGCAAGGGACTCCCCGTCATCCCCATCTACTATCTGGAGTGTGATCGACAATATGTCTGAATGCTCCAAGTAGACGAGGGACCCTAAACTCAGCTAAGGGGACTTATGGGACTTATGGGACTTATGGGACTTAGGGGACTGAGTTGACATGGTATACGACAACCTGCCACACAATCAACCATCTTAAAACTTAGCTAGGGATGTTCTAGGCCCCTCTAGTTTCGTCAACTTCTGTCTCAAAAGAGCTCTACTGCTGTATAACATGAGGAAACCTTCTCGCGACCCATGGCTCTGGTGCACTTTATCTCACGAGGACTGCCACCCAAGACGAACGATAATGGAATAGGCAGGATTTCGTGCTTGCGACAAGCTTATAGTGGCGTCGTCTATAACTCCCATTCGACCATCTCATTCGCCTACTTGACTCTTATCAGATAACCACCGGGTGATCGACTGGTAACGAGCGTTCCCCGCGGGACGATGTCATCAGTGCAGCAGTCCTTATAGGGAAAGGGAAACGGAAAGGGAAACGGCTTTTGGTTTATCTGCGAACTATCTTGCGACAGTTCCAAACATATAAGCATTCCAACTAAGACTGCACTGCACCCCTTTGTCAATCCTTTTTCTATTCGTTTCGTCTCTTCGTCTCTTCATTGTTTAATCCTCCATTGTTTAATTCTCCATTCATCTCAACTTATCCGTAACCTATTATTTCTTGACGTTGTCGTCATTAATAAACCCAAACCCAAATTATCTCCCCTCCATCTCGGCTCGGGCCCGTCGCTTATTAGAGCTGGGCCTTGTCGTCATTTGTTTTTATTTTTTTTTTCAGGGTCCAAGATCCTTGGAGTTCCAAGCAGTTGGTAAAACCTACTTTTTTTTTTAATTACCTACTGTGTAAAAAAAAAATATTTTTATATTTACTCCTGAAGCAGGCCACAAAATTTTTATTGCCCGCCTCAAAGCTGGGCTAACCACACACAACGTCGAGATGGCGCACGTGGCACGAGAGTTAGACCTGAATGCCTACTATGGGCCCGGCACCGTTATGGACAGAATGAACGCGGTGCCGGGCTTAAAGACAAGTACAGGTAAGTAGACGATAGTCTTTTCCTTTTAAATACCCTCGATTTTATAGTTGTCCTCCATGTTAGTCTCGTGCTGCTCCGCCCTCCGTTTATTTCGAATTGAAAGTTCAATCTCCGCCGTCTCATTCCATGTTTTTTCATGAGTGACATGGTGTAACCTTCACCTCGCATCCGTAAGTCGCAAAACATCGCATGAGTTGGACGAGGTGGAAAGCAAAAGTTAATTATTCGGTTCGGGCCTAAGACAAGGAGAGTAGAGTTATTAGCATCGGCAAAGCTGATCAGCACCTTCGGGCCACAGCATTCTTCTTCTTCCTACGGGCAAATCTCGTCGTCAACCCTTCAGCAATATCAACACCGGATATGGCACCTGCACCGTCAAGTGCGCTTCCGCCGCCTTCGCCGTCACTACTTGTCACGGTTGACCCGCCTACCAACCCAATACCGCAAGATCTGCCCCCGCTATCTGTCGGCATTATAGACGGCGAAACCAACAAGCTAGATGCGCTGAATCTAGTAACAGACTCAATAGCCCAGCAGCGACAGTCATCTTCGTACCATTTAATTTTCCACCCGTACTTGCTGGCTATTTTGGCCGTGGGCCTCAGTATCGCTTATCAGTATTCCTGGCGCATAAAACGGGACGTCGGCACGGCGCTGATGTTGCATTCCGGGGTGATTATGACATATTTAATGGCCATTCGGTATTTCACGGGCCAGTACATACAAGTAGCCGAGAGCATGAAATGGAGTTGGATGGTATCCGAGGATGGCGAGGAGGACACCGTCATCGGCGTGCGATTTGGGAATGATCTGATTGGTGCTCTGGTATTACGACTCGAGCCAAATCTGAGTCTAGCTGGGAAGAAGCGGAACCGAAATTCGGTGCTTAAAGGTGGGAAAGGCGTGATCCGAGCCTGGACGGTCAAGTTGAAGTATCGACACAAGGGTGTCGGTTCCGATATGCTCCACGAAGCCGTCAAAGTAACGAGGGAAAGGTGCGGCAAGGACGCCGAGGTTGGATTCGCGAAGGAACACGCTAACAGCACTACGGTACTGCCCGAAGCTTTCAATGGGCCGTTTAGAAAAGAGGAACAAAGAGCCGCAAAGGCTTTAGAAAAAGTTCTAAACGAATGGGAAGGCAGTAAGCGAAGACGAAAACTATAGGTTAGAGGCTCGTAGGAACGGTCAATTGGCGTTTGGCGGTTATGTGGTTATCTGGTTACAATATACCCCCGTTCGTTTAGAGTAGCTCTGCCTTATAGATAGGTAATCAATCGTTTCTTCTGGAGGCTTTCTTTCAGACTTGAATTCTATGTTCTGGGTAACCGTGTAATGTCACAGCGCTGATGTTCCAACTAGCTGCGTTCAAAGAGCAGAGATAAAAGTAAATCCATAACCATCCATCCATCCATACACCAATAGTCCCAATCAGGCCGTTAAAAAAAAAAAAAAAAAAAGCCAACTCTATTAGTTCTTTCCACTACATTGTACCTTGGCTTGAACATACTCCTCATATAAAAGCCAATCTTCAAGAGTTTACCGCTTTTTTGGCGGTCCGCCGCTTACATCGTCGAAACCGTATATGGGCCGGCCAATCCGTTTCAGAGAATGTAAGACCTGCGATGAAAAAAAGGTTAAGGCCAATATCACAAGATGACAGGCTAGCTAATTTGGAGGATGACGAGTAACTTACATCGTTGATAGTGACCGTTTTCTTCTGTCGGTATTCTGTGTAAATAACACAATCCCGTATGATCTGTCCCCGGACGCGACATTTAGTACAATGCAAGCAAACCAATCGGGGTTACGTCGCACGAGTTATTGCATAGGTAGGTAGGTGCATACCTCTTCGAGCCTCGCTTTTAAGGCCACTCGCACTTCATCGTAGATTTGTGCTGATATTCGCTTGACGCCACCTCTACGGGCTAGTCGTCTGCCATGAAATTAGAATGAAATTGGATTCAAATCCATTATAAGGACGAATGCCGTAGGAGAAGTGTAGTAAGATGAAAGTAAGATGAAAAATGAGGCCGGAGTAGATTGGAGGCGTTTGGGTGTGAGCTAGAGACGTACCTGATAGCGGGCTTGGCTAGAAATTGGATTGTACGTTAGCGACCCATTGACGGTTGATTGCTGACTGTTGGCTGTTGAATTTAAGATTTCCCCGACGGATAAGTTACTTACTAACTCCCTGAATATTGTCGCGAAGTATCTTACTATACGACGGTTAGCTATGACAAAGCGCTCACTTGCTTATACGCATAGTCTAAAATACCGGTGCCGTTTGATCCCCTGTAAGCACAGCAAGTTAGCAAGTTAGCAAGTTAGCACGACACGCACGTCCACGCCATCGCGCCTCAGACTAGAACTAGGGTAATTTACTCCTTTCCCGCCGAGGCCCTTCCCACCTTTGCCTCCTCTAGCAACGTGCTTGCCTGGCATAGTGTGAAATCAGAATAGTTCCACCTGGTTAATCGACACGGAAACAGGAATGGTACGCGCTATGGCTGTGTGAGTTGCGTGAGACAATACATGTAGGATGTGGAGTTGGGCGTGGGGAAAAGCAACCATCAGGAGATTTGAATCTTAGCGTTGAAGCTATACGTATCGATAAGACGCTGTTGCCTTCCACTATATGTACCTACCTACATACATCGTAGCTGTTGCCTTAACTGTTGCCTTATATCAACATAGAGCGGGGTAACTGCCTTGATGTAACGGAAGGTAGGACACTCAAGGTACCTTAGGTACCTACCTACATAATGTACATAAAAAAGCACGTCTTTTACGTGATTTATATGCCTACTTGCATATGCGCAAGCTATATAGCTTATGGGCAGAAACCATTCGATTCTTATTCTTTCCAAGTCATAGTTGACTACCCTGGACATTCTATTTTTTATTAAATATCTTATCCAGTTAATAATATCCGATAATGAATATGGTTGACTGCAAGGTAGCAATATATGTTCGCTGTAAGCTTACATAATACATTTAGACTTGGTTGATACTCCTCAATATAGACTCACATTTCAATAATACATATATACTCACCTTACTTGTAGTTGATAGAATCTATTTGAGTACTCTCAATCCTATATTCTATTGTCCCACGTAAGACTTCCAAGAACAATGATTGTATTCATGAGGTATCCTTATTAATGCAACCTAAAACCTATAGATCGTACATGATTTCGAATGGTGGAATCCGAATATAGTTTACACCTTGGCATCTCAACGAGTGATCATGTACTTCTATGAACTCTAGTATCCCTAACTTGTTCTGATGCAATATCCTGACCGTATGCTAACTGGAGGAAAGCAAATATAGCATAGCCAAACCCCTCCGCTGGAATGGAACGCTTAAACCAAGCATCCACATTCTAATAGCAATGCTAGTTGCTGCTCTGCCTTGCTCATTCTGTCGGCATTAAGCATATGCAATATGCTTGACTTTAAGCCCTAGCGAATTACTCCGTTGCGGATATGAAAGTTGCTTCGCTGAACAGCCGTCCCTCTTCGGTAATCTCTTGATCCCCGATCTTGAGCTTTAACACGGAAGGGATATTATGGGGGAAAAACTGCACACGTGGTTAGAAATGAAACGCATTCTAAATGGCTACCTCGGTAAACCTACTTGATAAATGTATGGCTTAGTTCCCGCCGCATTGGCAACAATTTTCTTGACGAAACCAGGAACTTCCGCCATGACGTCAATCCTATCAACTCGCTCGCCCACAGCGCATTCGATAACGGCCTCGACGGGCTTTCCGTCCTTTGTGGTACCGGACCAGGTAAATCTGATATCGGTGGGCTCGGGCCAGTCGTTCTCAGTGTCCTGCTTTGTCTTAAGATGTGTGGCGCTACAGTTGGGTCCAGCAGTGATAATTTCCCCTTCTTTGGCAATCCCGCCGACGCCTACCACGGTCGTTCCATACGATGGTGGCGTGGTGAACTCCATTAGGATTGCGGAATACGTCGGTCCTTGATAGTTGAGGAAATTCCACCGGGCTGCCAGATGGTGAGGCTTCATACCCTGCAGAGCGTGGGAAAGGAACGCCTTCCCTTTGAAGTCGATGGGTCCATTCTTCGTCATAACGCTCCCCTCAGCTGAACACCTTGGCCAGAACGCATGTCGCATGGAACCCCACGGGTGAGATAGGTCTGTACCGAACAAGCTCTTGCCATCCTTGCCGACAACGAAGCCAGGCGCCACCTTTGTTATTTTAAGATTGACGATACATTGAGGATCGTTCATCGACTTGATTGTGTAGGAGTTCCCATCCCCTGATAGTTCTACGGCGCAATCGGTGGCAAAAAAGCATGTTTTATCTTCGCTGAACTCGGCGTGGCTCAAGGGCGAAGAGCTCCATAGGGGTTTCGAGCCGTCTGTGTAGAAGACCTTGCAGTTGAACTGGCAAGTGGTGCGGATGCCGCTTCAAGGAATGTCAGCTTGATCGAGAAGCAGCTGGGCGGTTGAAAACTCATACGCCACATTGCTGTAAATGACCTGAGCAAAATTTAAATGGCCACTATCCGCCATGAAATAGAAGGTTTGGCTTTCGACACAAGTCGATTCCATAGCCTCCCATTTCATGTCATCCCTGGTTAATTCCGTATACGGCGTCGTTTTGGCATCTTCGGCGACTGATCTTATGGCCGAAGCGCCATAGATGGGCTCTTCCGTGCCCACGACATTAGCCAAACTAGACGACCGGTTAGCTGAGTACGCCAGGTACGGAGACTAGGGAAATTTGCTGCTGACGTTTGTTTTGCCCAGTTGAACATGGTGTAGAAAACGGGATAATCTGTCTAGGTGTTGATGATAGATAAATAGAAAAAGGAGATAATATAAGCTGACTAAGGTGGTAGGAAAAGAAGGAGAAAAGAGCGGTGATAGTGGTGGTTCGTTAGGAAGATATGCTCTTAATTAGTGTAGAGAGAAGACGGAAGTAGTTCAAGCTGTCGATATTTGGCGGGGTCCTCGAATAGAGTTTATGTACCTCTGTACCTGACATTCCACTATTTACATACATGTACCTAGGTACCTACACAGTACCTAAAACCGGATTTGAATTAAGGTTGAGGCGTTCTCAAAACTCCACCGTGGCTGATGTAGAATTCTTGAACTTCCACCAACGAAATTGGGGCTTTTTTTTTTTATCCAAAACATTAACGATCAGCCCGTCCATTTCCTCTTCTTATAACCAACGCCCGATAGTTCTAAGATGTCGAAGGCGCGCTCGGTTGGCTTTGGCGGCGACCAGATGGTTAAGCTCATAGTGGGAGCTGGAAAAGCTGCCCCTAGTCCTCCAGTTGGTCCTGCGCTTGGAAGTAAAGGTGTTAAGTCTATGGATTTTTGCAAGGTAAAGACAAATCCAGTCGCTAATGTGATGCGCTGTAATTGATAGCCATGCGTATATAGGAATTCAATGCGCGAACGGCACACATTATACAAGGCACGCCCATGCCGACCCGAGTAACGGTACGAGCAGACAGATCATTCTATTTCGACGTTCGAACACCACAGACTTCGTGGCTTCTCAGGAATGCGGCAGACCTACCAGTCAATAAGAAGGGGAAGAAAAAAGCTGCGAGCCAGCCGGGACACGAAATAGTAGGCACGGTTACTCTGAAACATATTTACGAAATCGCCAAGATAAAGCAGTCCGAGCTACGGCTCTCCGGTCTTTCGCTAGAGGGTCTTTGCAGGGCCGTTATTTTCCAGGCCAAGTCAATGGGTATTGCTGTTGTTGCATAGACGGAGGGCGATCCCGATTTAATCGCCTTTTGTAACATTATGCGTCAGAGCGAACGGGACGGGGTTGGTTGTCGATTTCGGACCCTCTGTTATGCTTGTACAAGCAAGCTTTTGGCATGTATCACTAAAACAGCACGAAATATGAGGATCAAACGCAGAGTCCCTGATGTGCGTCTGCATGTGGTGCCTAACGCGGCGGAAATATTGAAAGTTGCCTCCCCGAATATTGCGACGATCGGGAGCCTTGGAGACTACTAATATATCGCTCCCTCCTCAGGAAATTCATGTAATAGTCTCTACCAGAATTGACAATCTATAAAAAGGGCTACATGGAAATTATATTGCTGATTGCTTGTTAGGTGATAAGTAGTTAGAATTACCTACCTCTCTACTTGTATGAGGGTAGTATTGGTGCTCCAAGACAGTTGTCAATGTGCTACCTACCTCCTACATAAGCTATAAAGCGATCTCGGTCTGGCTTACACAACTTGAAGAGGCATCGATGAGGCGAAAAGTCCAGATCTTCAGGTTTAGAGAGATCTTATTGAATGATAGTTATACCAACTGAAGAAGTACCTACTTATCTTATTAGATACCTATGTATATAAATGTTAGTTGAAAAGAATCGAAGCAATTATCAATCTGTACACCCTCGAAACACTTTTACGGGCACAATAATTGGCTTCCAAATATCTTCTAGAATGTCTAACTAGAACAACGTGGGTCGTGGAATACATAGCCTAGCCAGCCAAGCTTTTGCATGTGAGCAATTCAATGTTTGGAAGCTAGCACAAGTGCAAGGATGCCACTAACTTTGCGCAACATGTCAGTCGTACCGCGCATACTTAAATCCCGTATTCGTACGAATAAAAGCTTGGCCTGAGGGGTTTTTATTTATTTATTTTTTCTATTTTTTTTCCAAGTTGGCCATTTACATAGACCCCGTCGAATTTGGATTGTGCTGAACGGTTAATGTTAGACACGCTATGGTTCTTCAGGAGAAACAACGATCTGAAGTAAACCGCGTTGCCGGTTCGTGGAACTTGTGGTAGCCATACCATACGCCATACCATACCAAACTCATCAAAGTGCTGCTCGGACAGATGTCTCAAACGGATTCGTCTCCAAATTTTGACATTCTGATAGGTCGTAGACAACAAGAATATTGGTCCGAGTCCCAAAGCTATGGGTATACCGTTTGAGCAATTGGCGGGCGTTTCGTTGGAAGATAGAAATCTTGGCCCTGATAATGCATGGCAGATCACAAGTACCGCCGCGGACGGGATCCTGCAAGCTAATCAATTCCAGGCACACCTATAACTTTATATCGGTGTTATTGGGCACATATAATATAATGCAAGGTCGATGTTACGGAAAGTTTAGGACAAACCCTGACAGCCTGATCAACCTGGTACACGAGCACCGCATTTATTTGTGTATACCCAAGTGACCTAAGTGACCTAAGTGACCTAAGTGTAATGTGTGTAATGTGTGTAATGTGTGTAATAGGAAGAAGACATTTTGTGAGAGCCGATCGGGTTTGAGTCATGAACTATTATTAGACCGCTTAGATCGCTTCGTTATATACGAGAAAGCTACCATGTAACTGACCAGCTAACCAACCGGGAGGGGATTTTATGTATGATTGTATGATTGTATGATTGTATGATTGAAGAGCGGAGAGAGAGTGTGTGTCAAGATTGTTGAATAATTTTTCATCTTTTCTTTTCTTCTCTTCCTGTTGGCCATTTTGGGATATCCTGGCGATTATGGGATCGTTTGTCATTTGTCAGCCTGCTTCCCGACCTATTATGTTTCTAAATCTCTCTACGACATCTATGTATGTATTAGATGTATTAGACGCAAACGGATAGAAACCTTTTTGGTCCCCACCCAACGGGGATTCATGGGAGACCCCACATGGTCCACTCTCAAACCTCTAGTGACTCTTCAATCTTTCTTTCTACCAACCCGGAACTACGTCTGGTGCACTCCGGGTAAAGCGCCGAGGCAAGAGAGCCCAAGAGTACTTAAAGCAAAGTACCTGAAAGTACTGTACCAGGTTTACTTCAAACTCGTTGCCAAATAGCCGGGTTGGCCATATGCAATTCGACCCGTAACATCCTCAGATCCTCTATAGCTCAATCCGGTTGAGACGGCTATCTACTCTGCGCATGTACAGTACATATTAATGAGGTCCATACCTAACGATTCAATTCACTTAACTATGGTTGCTTTTGGTCACTTTGGTCACTTTAATCATTCCAAGTCGCACAAAGTCCTATCATGTCCCCCGTATCTTCCATAGATTCTTAGATAAAAAATTGGATCAAAAAATCGTTCTTGCCTCTTGCCGAACAAGTGGGCAAGTGGGCAGCGGAGAGCGGAGAGCAGCTACCTTCTACACTGACTACGTGCAACTACGTACTTTAGAACTTGCCCCACCATGATGGACATAAGTCAGTTCTCCCACAAGTTTTGACAGAGATCTTTTAGACCTTTTACAAGGTCTGGCACATCATATCATCATCACTTAGCTTTTTTTCTTCCTTTTTCTTATTACTTTTCTTCATTTGATCTACTCGCTCTCTTCCCTATTAATTCGCATTACTTCTTGGGGGCCATCCCTCGGCCCAGCTTGCTAGTAGCTCTTCATATCTTAGCATTTGGATTCTATTGTTATCTAGCTTCTCGGTATCTCGATTGCCATGACAACCCCGAGCGATGCTGATGATCGCCACCAACTGGAGCCGTCGCAAGGTAGGTAATCACGATATTTTCTCTTTATAAACCGGCCAATAGACATTCTCTACCGTGTCTTGTCTTTATAATCAAGTTTCGATAGCTTAATAGCTAATTATGTATATTTTCAACCTACCAGACAGCTCCAACGATGTATCCGAACGTACCGATGCCATCGCAAAGCCCCCAGAGCGCGCATCGGTACGCTTCTCATCGATAGTTGACGAAATCGATCCTCCAGTCTCGACCTTCGGTAGTCCGGAAGCCCGAAGGGAGAGCTCTGCTAATCCTGATATAATACGAGCTCTGACCAATTCTATCCATGGCGCCCAACTTCAAGAGCAGCGATTGATGAATTATTCGTTTGATCCAGTCTCCCTTCCGCCTTCTAGGGTACGCTATTTACCGTTTGCTCTCAATTTATTTTTATATGATATTCGCACGCCCCCCGACAATACTTGCAAAATTCGGATGAAATTCTCCTTTATATTATTCACCGCTGCGCCTCATTTCCCGTCCCAGACTAAAGCAAGCACTGGCGCCTTAGTATACATGTGGTCCCGATAGCAATTATACGGTTTTATTAGATCTGGCTCTATGGGGTCCTCTTATAACTAACAGTATACCTTCATTTAGGTTGCGTCTAACGAGACTACTCCCGGCGCAACTCCGCAGCATAGCCATAGCCCCATGGGCCATCCGTCGCCCCGATTGAGCCCCAAAGCTCCCGAGTTGGTATCACCGCCACTTACGCCTGCTGGGACTTCCGCGGCGGAATCTTCCACGCGGAACGCAAAATCCGTTCGAATTGCCAGTTCCGATGGCGGGTACGATTCCCAGGCGATAACACCACAAGCATCGGGACAAGATTCGAGACCAGTTTCGCCTCGAATGGGTCTCCCGCACCGACCTGCTTCCACCGACAACATATCCCAACGGTCGACTGCTGTAGACGAGCACGATGGCGGTATGCGCTCGCATCGAAAGGGGATTTTTAGCATCGGGCCCGGAGGCCAATCTCTACCTGTGTCCAGGGAATCGAGTCCCTCGAGAAATGCCGCATCTCAGTATTATTCGCGACCATTTACTCCTCAAGGGGATATCAATGATCCGTATGCTGCAAGTAAACGACCGATGCAGAACAAAGCAGGTGGCAACATTGACCAGCGATTTGTTTTCTCTAGGAAGAAGAAACTTGGCTCTCCTTCTTCTTCATCAACAAACCTAACGAGGACAGATAAGCAAGAAAAAAGACACTCTGGACTTTTCGCAAATAAAAACAAGTCCACTGATCTTCATCCGACAGGATCTGGTTCAACAACACATAGTGCACACGGATCTATGTCTGATCTGAAGCGGTTTTTTAAAGTGGGTATCAATCACAAGCCCAAGAAGCCCGCATCACCATCTCCTTTGGGGTCTAAGCCAGCCTACCAGGTCCCATTTGCTGATGATCATGGCCTCTCATCCAAGTATGGGAAGCTGGGCCGAGTGCTTGGGTCTGGCGCTGGAGGCTCGGTCAAACTTATGAAGAGAACCGAAGACAATACCGTATTTGCGGTGAAAGAATTTCGCCCTCGGCATTCGTACGAAACTGAAAAGGAATATGTCAAGAAATTGACAGCCGAATTCTGTATCGGATCTGCTTTACATCACGGCAACATTATTGAGACGCTTGACATTGTCCAAGAGAAGGGGAAATGGTACGAAGTCATGGAATACGCTCCATTCGATCTTTTTGCCATTGTTATGACCGGAAAGATGTCTAAGGCAGAAATAACATGCTGTTTTCTACAAATACTGAGTGGAGTAACCTATCTTCACAGTTCCGGTCTCGCCCATCGGGATTTGAAACTGGACAATGTTGTCGTTAGCCAGCATGGCATCATGAAAATTATTGATTTTGGTAGTGCTCATGTTTTCAGATATCCTTTTGAGACCGAAATCGTCCTTGCTTCTGGTAAGTTAGATATCGCCATGCAGTTAAATAATTCTGTGGATCTCTAACAAGCCTCCAGGTGTTGTTGGGTCGGATCCCTACCTTGCTCCAGAAGTTTACGATGAGCGCAAGTACGACCCTCAGGCGGTGGATATCTGGTCCCTTGCAATCATCTTCTGCTGCATGTCACTTAGAAGATTCCCCTGGAAGGTCCCGCGCTTGTCGGATAATTCGTATAAGCTTTTTGCAGCAGATCCGACTCCCGGCCACGATCCCAAGAAACTAATCCTTCCTTCGAGATCCACGAACGATCTCTCGAATATCCCACAACGTGATATTTTTGCGGAAGACGATGCGAGGCAGCAAAGCTCCAAGGCGAGCGAGCCCTCTACTCCTAGTAGCAACGGCACTAGCACCCAGGAAAAGAAAGAGGTCATAAAGGGACCGTGGCGTCTGTTGAGGCTACTTCCTAGGGAGAGCAGACACATCATTGGGAGGATGTTGACGATCGATCCCAAAAATCGCGCTCAAATGCCTGAGATACTCGATGAACCTTGGGTTTCAGATACGGTTATCTGCAGGCAGGTTGACCATGGACAAGTCATTCATGCGGACGACCATACACATGTCCTTGAGCCGCCGGCACCACCAAGTAAGTAGAAACGCCGGGGGGTGTTTCGGCGGACGATTAAGCGGACGATTAAGCGCATTTTGCGATATTTTTGGCGTAGGAGGGAACAGTAAGTTCCCAAAAGCGGCGTTTACGGGGTCATATAGCTTCGGAGTCATCAACGGCAAAGCGGGAGGGTGCAAACCATTCAGGTTCATAGCGGTATAGAACTTAGAGTATATGCTATTGCGTGTAGAGGTTTGGGTAGATAAGGTTCTTGTCCATTTTACGACCGTGCCGTTGGCGAACCGCGGCATAGCTTAGGTACTAATAGATGTAAATTCAATTCAATTCCTATTAGAACACATGTTTAATTGTCTGATGTTTAATGTTTATATGTTTTGCATGTGTGTAAAGACGTATAAATTCGAATAGGTACGTACATATGCCCGACTTTTACCTGATGTGGCTTACATAACGAATCGATCGGGATGATGTACGCAAGGATCCGGCTGGCCCCGGATAGGCGGGTTCTAGGCAAAGGTAGCCCCGGCATTCGGAAAAACCGAGGAATAAAAAGTTTAGGTCTATTGGCCACTTGAAGCTTCCAAAGCCTTCCAAAGATCCATCCACCACTTGCGATAGCTTCAAATTTAGATCTTCGAGCTCCCAATTCGTTGCAGTTCGCCCAGAAAAAAAATTCTACCATTTCGAATTCACGAATATCTCCCTGTATATACTTCGCAATGGTATGCTCGATTTCTAAATCATTGCATCATGCTATGACGTGCGCTTTGCAATCTCGCACCCGTCACCCCACGCTCGCTCTACTTGCTTTAAATTTTTCGCTCCGCTCGTTTATTCCTACGAAGCTTAGCTAACATGTAAATACCACAGGCCACCGCTATTCGATCGATCAAGTCCCTCGTCCCTCTCCTGGACCGTGTGCTGGTCCAGCGAATCAAGGCGGAAACTAAGACCGCTAGCGGCATCTTTCTACCCGAGTCCAGCGTGAAGGAGCTCAACGAAGGCAGAGTTCTAGCTGTCGGCCCCGGCGCGCTGAACAAGGACGGCCAGCGTTTGGCTATGGGCGTGCAGACGGGAGATCGGGTGTTGATCCCTCAGGTAAGTTAGGACAGTCTATGGGCTCGGGTCGATAGGATAATTCTTGCGCCCCCCTCTACCTATCTACGAAAATTTAGCTAACATGCATCTCCAGTACGGCGGTTCTCCCGTCAAGGTCGGCGAGGAGGAATTCCACCTCTTCCGCGACAGCGAGTAAGTCCCAGCACGTAGCTATCCTCGAAGGCGACACGCCGATACTAACAATACTTTCTAGGATTCTGGCCAAGATCAACGAGTAATTGTAACGATATCCACGATTGATGACACCGATGTACCATAGCATGCATGTACAACAGGAGGCATAAAAAGAGCTCGGGTCGGGTCAAGCTTTGCATAGCGCAACGTGATTTGGCGGCCGGGTGGGAAAAGGCGTCTTCGCGGATCGTAGGGTAGTGCCTGGTCTAAGAGGCTCAACTTTTGCGGTTTTGAGGTGCAGTTAATCTCCACTCATCCCTCCGAAATCTGTTCTTTAGGAACTAGTATCTCTTCACGAAATGATATGGATGGCAATTGCAAGTGTTTCCCCGTGTACCAAGCATTCGATGTGATTAGTCTAGTTCTAGTATACGTCCGTGCCTGTCATAACACCATTGTGATTATGATTATGAGACTCGTTGGGCCAGGTTAGGGATACTAATGAGTATGAAACGAGAGGTCACAGGTTATAGGGAATAGTTGATGGCAGTGATGGCAGTGATGACAGTCCTTGAAAACAAACACCCAATTTGGTGTTCTCATATTTTACATGACAAATACCTTTTGAAGCTAACTACCTACCTAGAGCTCAGGCAATCTTAGATTTGAATGTATGAATGAGGTGGCTGATACGGAATACTTAATTATTTAATCTACGCCCATCCAGTTATCAAACAGCGATCCCTCGTTAGACTGGAAGTCGAACCATGGCATTTCTTAGACGACTAAATTAAATAACTAGAGATGAGCAACCTAGGACAGTCGGATGACTGACTACTATATAGCACTAATATATAGCCGCTCTCGTAATTTATCTTGAAAGGGGCAGCCAATCGACAAGTACTCGTCAGCCAAGACGCAAACCACGACGCACAAGCGCCTCGGAGAAGCCCGCATGCAAACGCCAGGGGCTTACGTTCGGGTGCATTTTCGGCCTGTTTCGTTTCTTCCACCGTTCAAATTTCCCACGAGAAGACTAAAGGAAGGGTTGGGACGAACACGTTTCAGCTTCATTCGGTGCGTCTGGGGCGATTGGCTGCCGTATACCCAAGGTATATATATAGGTAGGTCCATATATGTTAATGCAGCCTCCCCACCCCTTGCATCAGGCCGTACCTCGTCTACATATGTACATATTCAACCAATTCCCCGGATTCCAACAACGTCATCTCGCGTGGTACCGTTGTATTCTATCTGAGACCTACCAAGGAATCAATAAGGTAGGTCGTCCATGGCAGCTTGGGTCTCACCCCTGAGGAGATCAATGGCCACTTGCAAACACCCGCTCTGGCGCTCTTATTCGTCGTTGGATGCGAAGCGCCTTTGGGGCGGAAGCTTGGCTGGGTGTGTAGCTGAAAGGGAAGCTGTCGAATTGTCCTCGAATCGTGCTTTTTTGATTTGATGTGTCATATTGTAAATTTTTCCTTCGGTATATAGGCAATCTATAGGTAATTTAGAGCCTTTCTCCCAGTTTGTTTGCTTTACAAGATAGGAAGATATCTGTCTCGTCTCCTACTTCCGTCTGATGCTGGGTACCTATATCTATATATGAATAGGGATACTTATTTTCTACCTATCCTTCACATGTTCGCTCCAGTCACTCATTCTTTAATCCCGGCCGATATGTTCATTCTCTGACCCAAATATACTTGAAGTCCAAAGGGGCATTATATACATTCCTTCTCTTAGCTGAGCTAGTTCATTTCTCTTTGATTCGCCTGGAGCTTGAGTATCGCCTCCTTTTATTTAAGAAGAAAGAAAAAAACCTCGTGTCGTTGATTTATTCTTCAATATGAAGTGCTCCCTCTCCTTTTTTGTGGCCATTGTTCTCCCTACGGTAGTAGACGCGCACACTGTATTCACGACGCTTTTTATCAACGATGTCTCTCAAGGAGATGGTACCTGCGTCAGAATGAGCATGGATCCCCAACATTGCACCTCCCCAATAGCTGGTTTAGACAGTGACGATATGGCTTGCGGTAGGCTATTGACCTCCCACATAACCATAGCACCCGGCTAACTATTGATTAGGCGTCGATGGCGAGCAACCTGTTGCTTTCACCTGCCCCGCACCGGCCGGTGGGAAACTTACCTTCGAGTGGCGGACGTGGGCTGATGCTGAGCAACCCGGATCTATAGATAAATCACACAAGGTATATCTCATCTAGAATGACCGATGATGTTGGACTAGTTGTGCTTACTTTGAGAACTTAGGGGCCTTGTGCCGTATATGCTAAACAGGTGAAAGACATAGCGACAGACTCCGCTGCTGGACCTGGCTGGATCAAACTCGTAAGCGTTCTCTTAAAACATTTATACACTACCACAGAGTTGCAGCAACTCCCTGGCTTGATGCCTTTATGAGGTCTAGAGCTCAAAATTACCCCATTCTCTGTAGATATAATTCTGTACTAACCCTGTACGTAGTGGGAAGAAGGCTATGATGAGTCGAGCGGCAAGTGGTGTACAGAGAAACTTATCGACAACAATGGTTTAATGTCCGTTGACATTCCAAAGTCGCTTCCCGGTGGTTCGTGGCTCTTCAGGCCTGAACTCCTAGCCCTTCATGAGGCAGATAAGGGCGACCCGCAGTTTTACACAGGATGTGCACAGGTGTTCATCGACAGCGGAAACACGGCAGCTCTTGATGTGCCCAAAGAGTACAGCGTTAGCATACCAGGCTACGTCCAGGTTGGCGAGCCTGCAGTATCTTTCAACATCTACCAGCCGCAATTCCCGTATCCAATGCCTGGACCAAAGGTCTACAAGCCCGCGGAATCCAAAGGCATGGCGGCTTTTACCACGACCTCAACTTCATCCAAGGCACTAAAGCAGGCCGAGGGCAATATTCCTTCGGACTACCTCATCAAGAACGCAAATTGGGTTGGAGTGGAAGTATCCTCCTACTCGACCGAGGACGGGTGCTGGAAGGCATCTGAGGAATGCTGGAACCAGGCTAAGGATTGCTACGACTCGGCACCCCCGACGGGGAGTGCTAACTGTCGAGTCTGGGAGAGCAAGTGCGATGGCATCAGTGATGCTTGCAGCGCCGGGGACTTCAACGGCCCTCCGAACAAAGGCCAGAAACTCCAGAATGAAGACCCAACACCCCCGGAGGATATTCCAGCAGCCGCAGATGGCAGCGGCTCTAGAAAAATGCGGGCACGCCGTGCTCTCTTGAAATAGGGGGGTTGCCATGCCATGCCAGGCCTGTACTCCTACAGTTGAGAACCCCTGGCTGGGTTTGACAACACAACGTAGAAGTTTGCGGGATATTTGTAAGTGCCTACCTATGTGCCTACCACCTATGTGGTAGATAGGCGGGCGAATTATTACACTCTGCTTGCGTCTGTTGCAACATGCACCTAAACAGCGCAAACTCACTCTCAGGTGATTGCGCCATATAATATATATGTTATATGTTCTTACTATTAACTATAGGTAACTGGTTAGTAATACCAACTTCCCCGTATTTCAAAGTATTTCCAGAATGGTCTTTGTAAAGAAGGTGACATTGATAAGACGGCTGTCGGCCTATGCTGGTTTGTGATGGTGATGGTGGCGTTGTACCGAGTAAGTCAAGTAGCTCTGGTTTATATGTGATTAATGTACAAGTTGATCTAGAGCTTTAGGTACCTAGGTGCCGTATGTTTTGATAAGGTAAATATTAAATACGGGTTCAAAAAAGGTTTATGTAAAAGGTAGGTAGGTACCTATGTACCTGTGTATAAAGTCGGTGGAGCAGAAAAGTATTAGGTACCTACCTAGGTACGTAACTAATACCTAACAAATACCTACCTCCTATGGTAACAAACCGGGGTCCTTCGGCAGTCGGAAGCATGGAAGCAGCCATCACAATTGATTAATAAAGACTCCGAGCCGGGTGGATCTCATCATGCCGCTGTTAAATGACGAAGTTCGGAATAGAATAATGATGATGACAAAACAAATGGTCTAACCTAAGGATTAAATGCCGTAACAGAGCCTTCTTCACCGTCACACCGTCACTTGTAGCTAACAATTTCTAATAATGTCTAACAATGTCTAAGCTGTCTACGCTTTAATATTCAAACCAATTGTCCAAGCTCGGTCCTAATCCAAACTTTGATTTCTTATAAAATAATGCTACTCTGCTCAAACGGTAGTCGGTACGCAAGTCTTCTCATTTATTATTATTTTTTTTACCATCCATTAATCCCAAAGTAGTCCCAGGTACAACCATCCCCAAAAATAGAAATAGAAAAAAGAAGGGCCCAAAAATTAGCCATTTCCACTCTTTTTTCGCTCCGGGTCCCGACCATTAAAGACCTGACAAAAAGCTCATCAAAAAAGGGAAAGGAAGAAAAACAAAAAGGTTGTTAGACTAGAACTTGTCGCAAAAGAAAAAAAAAAGAAGAAAAAGAATATTTTATTTCTTTGGGAAGTGTTTACTTGGAGAAAGAAACAATTGGCTGGATAACGACGATATTGACGAATCATTTATATATCCCACTCGGTACAAAGCACACAAAAACGCAACGATGACGGTTCCTATCGATCATATCATCGAGACCCCTCCGCGGGCACCGTCCCCTGTCCACGGCTTCGGAACCCTTGCTGTCCATGCTGGTGCCCCCCACGATCCTATAACCGGCGCCGTCATCGAGCCCATCTCTCTGTCCACTACCTTCGCGCAGACTTCTGCCGGAAAGCCTGTCGGCTTATACGAGTACTCGCGCAGCTCCAACCCCAACCGCGATAACTTCGAGCAAGCCGTAGCCGCGTTGGAACATGCCAAATACGCGCTCGCCTTCAGTAGCGGAAGCGCTGCTACTGCCACCATTCTCCAGAGCTTGGCTCAGGGGTCTCACGTCATCAGCGTTAGCGATGTCTACGGCGGCACCCACCGCTATTTCACCCGAGTCGCCAAGGCCCATGGTGTGACTGTTACCTTTACCCCTCAGATCGAGGTTGATATTGCAGAGCACATCCGCGACAACACCAAACTAGTATGGATCGAGTCGCCTAGCAATCCTACGCTGCGCCTTGTAGATATCAGGGCCGTCGTCAACGCAGCCCACTCGCGGGGCGTCGCCGTTGTCGTCGACAATACCTTCCTTAGCCCCTACGTCCAGAATCCCCTCGACCATGGCGCCGATATCGTCGTCCACAGCGTCACCAAGTATATCAACGGGCACAGCGACGTTGTTATGGGACTGGCTGCTTTCAACTCGGACGAATTACGCGAACGTATATCCTTCCTACAGAATGCCGGCGGCGCTGTGCCGTCAGCCTTCGACTCCTGGCTTGCCCACCGAGGAGTTAAGACGCTGCACTTGCGAGTGAGGCAGTCAAGCGGCAACGCTACGACTGTTGCGAGAGCCCTGGAGGCTAGCCCCCACGTCATTTCTGTAAATTACCCCGGTCTAGACTCTCATCCGCACAGACATATTGCTCTGAAACAGCACCGAGAGGGTATGGGCGGCGGTATGCTTTCGTTCCGTATCAAGGGGGGCCGAGCCGCGGCTGAGCGGTTCTGCCAGCTGACCAAGATCTTCACGCTGGCTGAGAGTTTAGGCGGCATCGAGAGTCTAGTCGAGCTGCCGAGCGCAATGACGCACGCCGGTATCCCCCGAGAACAGCGCGAGGCCGTGGGCGTCTTTGACGACCTTGTGCGTGTGAGCTGCGGTATAGAGGAGCCGGAAGACCTGCTTCGTGATGTGCAGCAGGCGTTGGAGAAGGCGGTGTCTGAGACAGCTGCTTCGAGCAATGGGACTAATGGCGTCAACGGGCACGAATCAAAATAGACGCGGGCTAGAGAGTGGTGAATAATTATCCAACCCGCCATCGTCCATCGTCAATCGTCAAAATGACGAAGCGATATATCGAAACTGGTGCTATTATCTTTTTGGCGTTATGCTCGTATCTGGTCGGTAGCATTACGGTGTGTTCCAGACCCATAGGGGGAGTCGACAGCACAAGCAATAGACAACTTCATTTTATAGTGGGATTAGCAACGTGTCAGCACCTCGGTGTGTAAAATAGATCGTTTTGAGTTTTTTTGGACAACTTATGGACAACTAGTTAGAATAACACAGGACAGTATAGCCAGATATGTGAGACGGGAGAGTGTAGATCCAACTTATGCAAATCTCATCTTGGTATATACTGATGGTCATCTCTCCGTATAGTTACTTGTGATGAAGTTATCCACGTCCGTGTTGTAATACTATCTCGCTGATTGGAACATGTAGGTGCCAAACAGGTAGCCAGCGATTAATTTAGAACAGGCTGTACTGCAATATATTTATACTATGAGATACGGGTGAAGCGACGAAACAATTAATGCCCTGAACTGCCACCCGCTTAAATCTTAGCATCTTAACTGGCTGATAGAGGAATAGAACCCAACCCAACCCGAAGCTAAAGCGCCAAACCGGGGAACTGGGAGTAAATGATATCCTACCTAGGTAATTAGGGGCACAATAGGGAGAGGATCGATGTAGACGACCTCGCATACCGAGCAAGCCGCGAGATCAATATCACGCCCATACCACTGTGCTGTACCGCCTTGTTAGGAACGATCTTCATTATCGTCCGTATTCGCGGATCGGAGAACGGGACTGCTAAGATTATTGGTCTTGGCATTAAACGAACGAAGAGTCTGCACATACATATTGGCAAGTCAGCACATGCGACATTGGCTTTCTACGTACGGTCAGGTTGACATTTGCTTTCTTCCATCGTGTCGGCGTGCACCCTTCAACTAATTCCCGATAGGCCTACGTAAATTCGTTGGCTGGAGTTCAGCACGGGGGGGGGAAGAGACCTAGTACCGCCCCGGGTAATACAGACTGAACACAACGACGAAGCATGGTGATACATACCTACGTTTAGAGTGGCCGGAAAACAAGGCTCTGGCTTAGCTTAGCTTAGGTCATACCAGGTTTCGTCCCCCACTGCGATGGGAAAATATTTGGAATTGCTCTTCTGCCAGGGATGACGACGACGGTGATTACCCGCGCCACTTGCGGCGGCGCAGCTCCGGTTAGGGCTGATCCAGTCGTTGTTAAGGGGCTCCACGTTAGATATCTGACGGGCCACAATGATTAGAGGACGGGAATATCATCATGTTGGTTCGATGGGGGAATGAAGGTCACCGTGCCACGGTGGTGTATTTGTAATTGCATTGATATATTTCTTTTTCAAGAGAGATGTCGGGTCTTTGGTTTAGCTGTATAAGAACGGGCTGGTTCGCCTCTCTCCCTCCCTCTCTCCTATGATGAACGACATAGCCTCACCAGCAAGGTCTCTAGCTTCAAGTTCAATAAAAGAAAAGTCGAATTCAAAATGGCCCCAGCAACTATATCCAGTCTCCTTCTCGCGAGCCTCGCGGCCGTGGTTTCGGCGCGCAACTGCAAGAACCTGATGATCCCGCTCTCGCTCTCCGCGCAGAATATGGACTTCACGCTTAAGGCGCCTAGTAACGATATCGAGGTGACGAACTTCGTCTTGAACTCTGGTCAGGCGGGTGTGAACTACGCCGACGAGATACTAAGCGAAACCAAGGTGAGCGTCGACTCTATCTCTTCAACATCACCCTCGTCTAGACACCACACGTTCCTGTCACAAGTATGAGTGAAAGGGGCAACCCTCTAACTAACTACCCCTTATTAGTACCGAACCGTGACAGGAAACTACTCCATCGCCGCAACCTACTGCGAGCCTGACGCGGGTCCGGGCCGCGCACTGCAGATTCTCACTCGGTATGTATACCAATATACGTAGAAACCCACCCCTGAACCCTCCTCATCCGTAGTATCTGACTAACACTTCGCAGTAAGCAACAACCCCCTAACCTAGACCTTTCTTCCCAGAAAACCATACTAGATTCTCCCCAGCAGACAAAAGCTTCCAAACCCAAACCCAAGCCAATCTATTCATCTACCTACCTAGGTATCTATATATATACTAACCCTCCCACCTCCCCACCCCCCAGACGGCGCCGCCTTCGACCGTACATACTGGGACTTCCCCCTCCACGCCTCCAACTACAGCTACGCGAACGCGGCCCTAGCGCGCAACTACAGCGTGTTCTTCTTCGACCGCCCGGGCATCGGACGATCCACCCGCGGCGACGCCGTCGCCGAAATCCAGTCCGGCCTCGAGCTGGCCGCCCTGTACGCGCTAACCACGAAGCTCCGCCGCGGCGGCATCCGCGGCATCAGCGCCCGCTACCAGCGCGTCGTGCACGTCGGCCACAGCTACGGCTCCGCCCAGACCTACGGCCTCACGGCCGCCCACCCCGACGACCGCATCTCCGATGCCATCGCGCTGACGGGGTTCAGCCAGGGGCTGGGCACGTATGTGGCGAACTTCCTGTTCGGGGGCAACTTCGTGCTGGCGGGGGCTGGCTACGGGCCCGGATACATTACGTGCGGCGACGTCTCGGCCGTGCAGTCTAATTTCTTCGCCCCGGATAACTTCGACCCGGAGATCCTAGAAGCAACCTATGCGACGAGTGCGCCGACCGCCGTTGGTGAGCTGTTGACTATTGGTAGCCTGACGGCTACGAACAATAGCTTTACGGGGCCTGTTCTTGTTATCACGGGAGGTGAGATGATCCCTTATTAACCGAGTCTGCTCGATCATGATGGAGTTGAAAAGCTAACTGTCTATTGTAGAGCGCGACGGTGCATTCTGCGGAGGCAACTGTTACGTGTCCGAGCCTAGCATCCCTGAACAGACTGGGAAATCCTTCACCAACACAAGTTCTTTCGAAGCTTTTGTTGTCCCCGGTGCTGGCCATGGCCTAAACTTGGTAAGAATCCACTTTCCACTATGAAATGTCACCGAATTGGTGTTAACTATGAATAGGAGTATACCGCGCAGGCAACATATGCGAAAATCCTTGACTTTTTTGACAAGAGCGTTTAGAGTCGGATACATGTCGCTTTAGCATCCTACGGGGAATTTTATTGTCTATATAGAGACACAGAGAGCTCAATTAAGCAAAGATGCCATCACGTCCAGTTTCTCCATTCCGTGATCCAGGGATTGCTTCCACGAGTCCAAACGCACAGACAAGGCATCGCAAACTAGAGCAAAGAAAATATCTTAAAGTCCATATTAGATACCCCACTGTCTCAGACTCCTCTAGAAATTGTCGATACTATCGAAAGAGCTCTACTCATCATCAATATCATCGTCATCTGTCCTTTGAAATTAGCAAAATGCCAATGCCTACGATGTTTAGTGGATTGGTGATACTAATACATACCTTCGGATGGTGAAGTATAGCTGTCCTCTTGCATATCCTGGTCAGGAGGCCAGTTGATAAACATCGAGTCAATCAATTCTCCCGAAGAACGTTCGACTATGAAATTTATAGTTAGCCATTGTTTGCTTTTTTAGTATTCCCGTAGGCAGTCCTATGGACACTCGAAGCATAAGGGATAATAACATACAGTCGTTGCCTGTCCATGTTGTACCGTAGTTTGGAGCACTTGAATTTTTGTTCTTATCTTTGAATTCTATCGAATACCCGGGCATGGAATGTATCTGTTTTAAGAAGAATTCTATCGAATACCCGGGCATGGAATGTATCTGTTTTAAGAAGGAGAGTCGTATGTCAGAGAGGTTGAATTTGAGTTTCGCCATCTGCCCGAAGAATGAAGCCCAGAGGTTGACCCTGTCCGCGACCTGATTCTGCGATTCAATAGAGAAGGTGACCTTGTGCAGAGAGATTATGCGTAGGCTTGGCTTAAACCTCTTGTAAATGTTGAGAAGGAGTGATGGCTCGATAGTTATCATTCCAATTTCAAGCTCCTTCAGATGCTGAAATGCAGGGGTCTGCGGTATCCGTGGTAGTTTTTCTTGCATCTTATTGACTTCAACCCCTTGGTGTTTTGAGCCGCCCGAGGACTCAGGCGTACGAATCAACCACAGAAGAAGGTCCCTGGTTTCATCTTTAGCGCAGCTCCGGAAATTCAATCTCAGATGTTTTAAAGATGTCGTTTTGGACAGGAATGTCACTAGAGTGAGGCCAAGATAGCCCTGATAGTTTCCCCCGTTATTGATAACCAAGGTAGAAAATGACGCAGGGCCCAGGTCTAGGAAGAGCGTCTGGAGGTCTTTGAGGAAGGGCGTAATCGTCGATTCAAGATAACGAGGCACGTTGAATGCCAGACTCGGGAGATGACAATTTCTAAGGATTACCTCTAGCTGAGTAGGGCTATGTGTCTCTTTAGCCTTGCCTAGGGCTCGGAGCATCATCAAGAACACGTAGGAAACGTATTGTATACGTGATTCTACCAAGCTAGAGTCAAGATGGCGGCCGCCGAACCGTGGTTGATCAAGAGGAAAGTTTGTCTCCCGGAAGAATGTTGGGGCCCCGTAAGCGTGCCAGGTATTGTCTGTTTCATCGCGATATCGGCCAGAAGAGTTGAAGTCACGTAGTCCGATTGTTTCGAGGTTGGGTAGATTGCAAAGAGCTTCAGTGAGAAGTTGGAGGTCTCGACCTGTGGTGATTAAGGCTTGATGGCTCATGTGTTCTTCACGCATCTTATTATACCGCAGTGCTTGTTCAAGATCGGAAAAGACCTGCATATGAACTGGTAGACTAGGCGGTATAGGCGGACGCTCGATGCTGATGATTAGATGGGACAGGCTAGGCGCGAATCTAGACTTAGAGATGTCTACGAGGGCGCCAAGGCTGAACTCGCTAATCATGAACTGCCTCTTGGTGAAGAACTCATGGGTGAATGACTGGAGGAGAGACACCTCCAGTCGCCGACAGACATGGCGAAGATTTCCATAATCTGAGGTTGTAAGGTAGGAAGATATCTGGAGAAGCACTTCAAGGGGAATATCTAAGAAGGGACTCATATTGTCAACCTCCATAGTCTGAAACCTATGGTGGTGATGTCGTAGTGTTGACGGATTGGGGGGGATTAGGAGATTGGGGGCGGGATGAATTAATGGTCGATAGGTACTGGTGGTAATTGGGCAGGCGAGAGGGGTAGAGCAACTAAACAAGTATGTGAGATGACTTGCTTGAATTTCATTCCCGAGTTGATATTTGAGAAAGACAGGAAGAACGGGAATGAATTTAGAAATGAAACCGCTCTGTTTTTAAGTTGTTTGCACCTTCATCACTTCCTTCCAGCTTCCAGCTTCCAGGCAGAATTGGGGGTTGCTACTGCAGAGGTAGGTACCTAGGTTAGGTGTCTAGGCAGCTGCTAGGTTAGGAACGTTAGGTATTGTACCTAGGTTAGGTAGTTAAGGTACCGGTAGTTAGCTGGAAGGTGAGGCAGCACTGTACCTGCCTAAGTGCAGACGAGTGCAGACGAGTGCAAATGACTGCGATTGGTCCAAGTGTCTTGAAAGGGGAACGGCCGTATGCGATCCGTGCATAATATGCACTTAGTAGTCATTTTCCTCCAAAGCATAAATGACTTCGCTAATCACCTGCACATCTGCACAGATACATACCTACCTAGGTACCTAATGTAATTACTAACCTCAAGTACAGGAAACCTGGAACCGTGTGAATCATCTCAAAGGTACCTATGGCTCCGACGGACGTGAAGTCTAAAGTATTATGTGCAAACTTTTCCAGAGGGGTAAATAATTTATTTCCCCTGAAGCGGCAGATGACCGCTGTGGTATTGCAAACTACCAAACCCTTTTATGTCCAAAATCAGAGCTTCATTTCATAACCCTCCCCAATAACCTTATCATACATTTTTTTGATGATTCTTGCCGTACTTGTTATCAATATCTGCCTCTTCATCAAACTCTTCTTGCTGACTACTATTATGGTCGTAGGCAAGTCTGACCTCATCAATCTGATCACCCACTTCCATCCATGTATCGCTGCAGGCTGGTACGGGGAACAGCTTGCATAAAGCCCAGTACATCACCCCAGAAATAATGAATCCACAGAAGAAGTTGAAATTATAGATGTAAGTTGCTCCCATAGGAACGTTGCCGCCATTCACCGCCCCGGCAAATCCAACCACGTTGATGAGAATACCACTGATATATGCCGCGTAAGCTCTCCAATGAAAGCCATAAGTAAAGTAGTACGGCCCTGTCTTACGAGCGTCGTAAAGCTCTTTGATTTCGAGATAGCCTCTTCGGACCAGGTAGTAATCGCTACACATGACGCCCGCTATTGAGCTAAGAAAGACGGAATAAGACGAAAGATAGGTCGTGAACTGATTACTCGATGTGAGCAAGTTGTAGGGGCACATGGCTAAGCCAACAACAGCACAGATATAGCCACCACGGCGAATGTTGATGAACCGCGGAAGTAGTGCCGTCATATCAGTCCCCGCTGAAACCGAATTCGCTGCGATATTTGTGCCCAACTGAGCCAGGGCAAAAGCGAAAGAGATGACGAAGACGCCAAAACGTTGACCGGAACTACCATCGTCGATAAATCTCTCCAGTAGGTCAAGGGGGTCCCAGATCGGCTGGCTCCCGGGGTAAATGATGACTGAGCTAGATGAGACCAATATGCCGATCAAGGAGGTGATGGCAAAGCCGATAGGGACGGTTAAAAGCTGCGACCAAAGAGCATCACGAGGCTTAGTGGAGAAACGAGAGAAGTCAGGGTCGTTTACAATGAGTGTTGCAAAGTTGGCAATCGAACTCATAACACCCTTAATAAACTCCCATGCAAGGTCGCTACCCTCTATCGTTGCTCGTTGTCGGACAATAGGGCCCGGGCCTCCAGCGCGAACAAGTGCCCATATCAAGAAAGCGATGCCGGCACAAGGAACGAAGTAAGCCTTGACGGTGAAAAGATGTCGAATTTGATGCACGGGGAACCAAATTGCCGGTAGCGACAAAAGCCAGAAGAGGAAAAAGGAGACATAATCAGCGGTTGTGGTTCCCGAGTCCTCGGAGAACGAGTTCGGGATAGTTTTGCGGTCCTAAAAGGTGTTAGCAATTCAACTTCTCCTTTAATACGAGCACAGCAATCCAGTCAGACTTACCCAACTGAGCCAGATGGATCGAATCATGAGATATACGCAATGCCCACCAATATACGACTGCACACCGTACCAAATACACGCCATGGCAGCACGATTAAATACGGGCCAGAGGCAGCCCCATATTCCGAAACTCGATCGGCTCACAACCGGGAAACCGATATGGTACATGGCTCCGATGCGACCGGTCATGCAGATAAAGCATCCAGCGATTGCGTATCCAATCCATACGCAGAGCCAGGACTGCCACCACGAGAGTCCGCCCACGATCATGGACGAGCTAATCATCCACGTGTTGATGTTGAAGGAATCGGCAACCCAAAAGCCAACAAAATTCCACGCTCCCCATTGGCGACGCGCGGGCTCAACAGGCTTAAGATCATCATTTGTTAACTGATTGGGTTGGTTAGTGCTGCGATTGTTTCGACCGGCTACTTTTTCAGCCTTACCATCAACTGGGCGACTGTGAGACCATCTTCGTGATCTACAGCGGCCTTGTCCATCCAACTATTAATCCTCGAAGTATGAAGCCTAGCCATCGCGGCGACCACTCCAATAGACCCTAGATTAAATGGTCGAAGGGGTTCTGGTGCGTTTAGGTAATTGTCGAGTAATGGTAACTAAACGCACGTGTATCGATTTCTCACATGTATGACGCGCAAACCCAGCCGGAACGGGTGCCTACCTAGGTACCTAAGCAAAGCAATAGAATGATTGGGTTTTTCCGTGTTGTATTAAGTTGTAGTATTAAGCACTAGTTATACGTCGAAACTCTAGGTTCTTGAACCTTGAGTATGCGATATTAACCCCAACTTCAACTTCAACTTCAACTTCGACGTAGGAAGTAGAGGCGGATATATATTCGCTTCCAGGATAAACGAGATTGAAAAGGGAAGAAGAGTAATAAGTACTACACCCGCCAAGCCATCACGATTACCTTAGGTAGGCGATTGATCCCTACAATACTTACGATATCTGACATAGTACATACATATCTCCAGACCAGGACCTAAGACTCCCCCACACCATGTACAAAACCCTCAAGTGCTCATCTTATTAGTACCTAGAGGTATCGTACCTAACCGTGTGCATGTGGCTATCCGGCTAGGTATGTACATTCCTAAATACCGAATCCATTTACTTCGGTGTCGCCGCCAATAGAGATAAGCCAGCTGAAGATAAGCAGCTAATTGGCCAACGACAGCTGGAATGGCGTTGGTTGGATATTCGATCGTATTTGATATGGTCGTTTCAGGTTTAGCGGTAGCCGGGGCTTAAGGGTCCCCCCTGGTCTGCAATGGCAGAATGGATCATTAGCCCCGCTGAAACCCCATGTGCCCCGCTGATCATGACGCTACTGCTATCTGCTATCTGCAAATTATCTCATCTCATCGAGCAATTCTTTCTAAAATCTCCGCCTAGCTTTCTTGGCTTTCCCAGCTCTTTTTATCGTCCAATCGCCACGCACGCGCAACAGCCCCACCAGCTTCAGCATTGTCGGATACAAACCTTTATACATGTATCTTAGTCATTACCTATACACTCGGTAAACCACTAACCTAGGAAGGATATGTGCAAGCTGTGAGAAAAAAAAACTCGGTTAAACTCTTTGTTCTATGTTTAACTTCCAGTAACTAACTAGTCTATGACTCGATAGTCGGGTTATAAGTGAGAAGTAGTTAATGCAATTACAAGGCTATAATACCTTACACAGCCTTATGGCAAGAACCCTAGATGCCTTCAGATGCCCTGGCGTAAGTAATCTATCTATAGGTATATATGGTAGAGAAAAGGCATACCTTGCGACCATCCTAAGATATAGCAACTTAATTTGTCTGGTTGTAGGGATTATACACTTTGTTATTGTTATATTCGAAACAGATATTTAGATTGGCAACAATTAAATCGATTAAAAACGACCATATTGTTCTTGATACAACCACCGTGTTCCGTTACATCTGCTCTATATCACTATTTGAAACGAGGATATATTCTTGATGGATTCCCTTGTGAAAAATAATTTCTTCTGCATCAACCAAGCATTCTAATTAATCCCATCTTCATATCTCGTAGAACCGCGAAAACATCCCACAATCAGCTTTGCTTAGCAATTTACCAAAGACGCGCTTCATTGAAAATTACAATGAGCCCTAAGGATATCGACGAGTCACGATTGTACTGTGAGAAGCACATGCTCATGACTTGTAAGATATGTCTGCATAGTGTCAACGTAGCCTCCGACGGTACAATCCCAAAGAATGCAACTGACCTATTCCGTCCTGATGGGATTTATGCGGTTGAACCGCAATTTCAACTTGCCCATACACTTGATATTGATAGATTGGGGTATATAGATGGTTTACACCCAGACAAAGAGAGAAAGCTGCCTCATATTGATCTACTAAAGGCCATCAATAACGGTAGTCCATATTATGACTGCAATTCATGTGGTCTTACTTACCTCGCAGGTGGTGGGCCTGGGTCCTTCGCTGCACATCCCTCTCATGTTTGCTCGGATGGAGAGCGATATTTGATAGCCAGACTATCTGCATCAAAGTTTACCTGCGACTCGAAAAAGACTGTATGGCATGGATCCTTCCATTTCGGAGACAAGTCCCCTTTAAACGCCCACTACCAATGTATAGGAAAGATTGACAGTAGAAGTGCAGAATGGAACCTTGACAATTCTGAGCTAGGGACTCTAACCCAATTGCTAACATCGGTAGAAAAAGAGGTTTTCCCCCACAGGCGAAAGCTTGTTGACGAACACGTCTACACGAATAGCGCCTACTTCGCCGGGCGAGCTCGACGATTCCAATTGATAGTGATCACTACTCTCAGTAAAACTCTTCTCAGTTTTTTGGGTAGAGTACAGACCTTGAAATATAGCCCGAAGAAACAGGCTTACTACGAGAACAATAGGTTTGGAATTGTCAAAAGAATGTATCCTACTACCGAGGAACGACGTCGCTTGACAGCAAAGTTATTCGCGGGGCTTAAGCGCCTGGCTAAGCTTGGTATACAGGTGCATTGGTCTCCCGGCACAAAATCTATGTATAAGAAGAGAGTCTTCCTTAACGAGCCACATGTAGTCCCACCGGTACTGAACGAGTCCCAAAACGACCCACCCGCTGAGAAAGATGTGGAACCGGGCGAAGACGTAGAGGAGGATGAGTTGATAGAAGGTGATTCTCTTGAGGGTATACCAGACCAGGACCAATTCCAGAACATTGAATACGTTCCGAGTCCCGAGGAAGATGCTGAGACCCAGGACGCCGTCCAGGATGCTTCCTCTAACCCGGCCAAGTAGTCTGGCTGATGGTGAGCTAATTGCAGCTTCCCCTTGAAAATATTAATGTAATATGTATTAGTACTAGGTAGTTAGATACTTACCTACGTAGGTAGGTATCTAGGAGTGTAAAGTAGTTGCTAACTATAAAAAATATAATTTAAAAAAGGGGTAACTAAAACAGCCTTAAGCTCATGTGATTTATTCCCAGGTAATTTTATGTTAAAATTTCGACTCCGTAGTATTTCTGAGTAATTGGGATTTAAACATACCTACATAATGTTTAAAGCCTTGTTATAACTACTTATTATAACTAGCTACCCAGTTAGCAAACAACGGCTTTGAAGTCACTCTTACTCCTAGGAGTGACGTACGACATACGGTACAGGGTTCACAGGAGATGCACTCCGCATTCTAAGAAGCCGAAAGTGGACCAAGATCGTATGCACTCCTCAACCTCCACCGTACCGTAGCTTGACCCCGCAGTCTCTCTCCTCGCTTTCTAACAAATGCCAGGAACTATTTCCCCCGATATCCACACCCACTTATACCGAGGGTCTTGACCCGGTAGCTTAAGAAACAATCCCAATGCCCCCCCTGCCAATCTACTCGTCCCTATCTTAATTAATCAACTAATTGATTCTATTAATACCAACACTAAGCAAAGCAATCCCGCCTAACCATAACCATGCCGCCGATCCCCAAGAACATCATCGTCACCGGCGCCGGCGGTTTCATCGGCCCCCTGCTCGTGGCCCGTCTGCTCAACGACCCGGGGTACCGGGTGATCCTGACGGACCTAGTCGAGCCGGTCGTCCCCCCCGGGGTCGAATACCCGCAGAACGCGACGGCGCTCAAAGGCGACATCTGCGACCCGGCGTTCGTAGCGTCCCTGCTAGATGCCGCTGCCCCGCTCTCCGCTATATTCATCTTCCACGGCATCATGTCGGCCGGGTCGGAAGCTGACTGGGATCTCTCGCTGCGCATCAATGTGAACAGCGTAAGGGACTTGTTGCTAGCGCTACGGGCAAAGTACCCCGGTGTTCGCGTGATTTACTCCAGCTCCCAGGCCGTGTACGGACAGCCGCTGCCGGACGGGCCTATCTCGGATAGTGTCACGCCGACGCCCGAGGGCACGTATGGCGCGCACAAGTTGATGATGGAGGTCTTCATCAACGACATGCATCGGCGGGGCTTTATCGACGCCTTCAGCCTGCGGTTCCCGACGGTCTCGGTGCGGCCGGGCCGGCCTACCAGCGCCGCATCGTCGTTCCTATCCGGCATGATCCGGGAGCCGATGAAGGGCGAGGAGAGCGTCATTCCGCTGGAAGACCGATCGTTCAAATCGTTTCTTACTTCCCCGGGAACTCTACAGGAAAACCTTATCAGGGTGTTGAACATGGATAGCTCGAAGCTACCGAAGCACATCCGCCATATTAATGTCCCCGGGATCTCGGTCTCGATACAGGAACTGATGGATGCGCTTGCCAAGTACGGAGGGGAGGACAAGTTGAAGTACCTCAAGGAGGAGACTGATCCAGACCTCGAACGGATATTGCGAAGCTGGGCGCCGGAGCTCGACACAACTACGCCGCTGAAGCTTGGGCTGACTAAGGACGAGAGCGCGGAAACACTTGTCAAGCAGTATATCGATTCTCTTAAGTCGTAATACTCACCTGTAATTCCAAATGCCACAAAATTTTGATCACTATGTTAGTCTTGCAGGTTTTAGCATGATGTAAAATTGACCAAACGTATAATATATTACGCTAGGATCAAACATCTTCAATGTATCCGCCCCCTGAAGCCCCAAGAGTAGCATAATATAGATCCTCCTCTGCGAGAATGACCATTCGCCCATCACCGGCGAAGTTGAAGTTCGCGGCTGTCTTGCCGAGGAAGATCTTTCCGATGAGCTTTCCTGATGGGTTCCACACCTGCACGCCATCGCCGCAACCAGAGTAGACATTGCCATTACTATCGCAGTGAATACCTACGCGATTGAGTGTACTTCATTAGCCTTGGGACCTCTCAGGGGGGTAAGCGATTCATAATAACGTACCGTCTGGAACACCGGTGTCGGCGTACGCAAAGAGCCTACGGTTGTCCCAAGTCCCATCTTCCTGGACGTCGAAACGATAACTAGGAACGTATTAGCTGCTGTTCAATTCTGTTTATCGGCCGTTATTGCGTACATGCTGGCAGGCTCACTAAAATTCCAACCTAATACAGCCTTATTGGCCCCAGTATCAGTGACGTACGCATGCGAGCCGTTGGGAGAGAATGTTAATCCTAGGGAGCAGACACGTATTAGAATATGAATGCTCAATACATATAAAAGCCTCATATAATGCATCTTACCGTTATTAACACCGAACCCATCTGCGACTGCAGCGACTGCGCCAGTCTCGGGGTTATATCTATATATTTGAGTCCGGAGTCCTGGCGCGGGTCGGAAATTCTGTAGATATCCGTAGAGACTATCGCTGAAATACAGTTCCTTATTGCGAGGGTTGACCGCGGCATCATTCAGGGAATTGAACTGGCGTCCGAAGTAATTATTGAGTAGTACTTATTGCGAATATTAGTTGGTTCCTTTCACCGATTAACTAGAGTCTTTTGTACTTACTAGTTGTATTATACGGTTCTCTCGGATTCATCACGACCAGCTGCGACGTAGCGTCGTCTCCTTGGCCCTCCGCGGCAAATACAATTTCGCCCTTATAGTTGGTTCCGCCTAAAGTAGGCTCGTAAGCTAACACGGTAACCTAGGGTTGAGACTAATTGGTCATACCATTCGAGTTGATGATGGCGGGTACGTCAACAGTCTGGACGTTAACAGATCCCGTTGCGTTACGAATATTCGATACGGTCGCCGCTTCTGAAAGCGCGATTTTAAGGATGATATTAGATTTGTTTAGGCCTGTGCCCGCGGCTGCAGCTCCAGCATTTTGCACAAAGAACATCTCATCTGTAGGCGGATACCTAGCGTCGAACGTGTTAAGACATATTTGTGCAAACTTATATGCTTCCTACAAACATACCAGACGGGGGCCTCGTGAAATATGGGATTGGTTCCTGCGTTGGCGATGAGTGTCAACGTAGGATTAGGCCCAATTACATCGTAGAATTCATCGTCATAAATATGGAAGGGCTTTTCCTTCAGTGACTCTAAATCATGTCCCGGCGGTATGAAGAAAAACTGTTATAAATTAGCTTCTCAGGCTCTGAAGCGATGTAGGAAGACATGGTAGAGTTTACCGTGGTAGCATTAGCTACTGATGGGGGAGAAACGGTTGGCAGAACATTGAATGATTTCCAGTCAATGACCTGAGCCTGTCCTGGGACCTCACGTTTCGATAGTCGTTCGTAGTCGAATGCCGAAGAGCCACTATAAGCTTGAACGAGAACTCCTACTGCTAGAAGAACTAGCGCCGCTGAGAGAGATGTCATGCTGTGAAAACTCACACCGTATGCTGCTTCCGCATTCCTGTGTGATGAGTCTTGGGAAGTTGTTGTCGGCACGGGACCTGTCATTTTGTATGCCCCCAATCCCTCCCAAAGGTTACATGCAGTTCCGGGAACGGTACGGGCCTAGCTAAGTTATTGGCTAACGATATACCTAGGTTAACTCCCGGAACGCCTGATTGCTTCAATTGGCGAGGTTGGTTATGCGGGGAACTGACCTCATTAATTTCTCACCGCTTATGTCAAGGTATTATCGGCATCTGCTCCACTTGACTTAACTACTTCTGTTAAATATAAGTCTTCGAAATAGCAAGGTTCGTCCGGGAAAGGTTTAAAACTAAGTATGTAGACGGGGACCCCGGTTCCGGTAGTTTGGGATACGACGCGGAGATACGACGCGGAGATCGGAGCGGGGAAGCGAGAAAAGTAGTTGATTGGTCTACTTGTACAAAGGATGTTATGCCGCTATGTACCTAATCTAGCGTAAACTTGGGTTAGGTTAGGTACTACTAAGGTACTGTGGGAAGGTACTGTGGGAAGGTACTGTGGGAAGGAACAAGGCATAGGTAACTGTATATACCTATAACATTTGACCTAATTGGAAGCGGTTTGGAAGCGAGGTAGAATAATCTTTACATCATTCCACAGTACCTAACCTAATCTTTTTCATACTGTTTCAACGAAATGAATCGGTTTCCATCTTTTCATATTTTCAAACTACCTAACCTACCTAGGTAGATAGGTAAGAGTGTAAGGCCCGAGCATCGCTTTGACGGAGTTAAGATTCGTGAGGCAGGTGAACCAATTATATGCCATCCTCTGACATGCCGTCGAACTACCACTGTTCACCCCCCGACGAGTTCGGGGGCCGAATCTTGGGCAGCTCTGGGTCTTCCACCGCCCCAGTGACCATTGTTGAGAGGAGAGCCTTGTGATAAAAGTCACAATGTCGGTAAGGGTGTAATAGTAGACGTAAAAGATGGATGGCTCTTTAAGATGAGTACCGTTTATGTCACACATAATCGGATACTGTTCCCGATGCATCGACGGATCGGGATGCGGATCGGCTTATAAACTATATCAGGCTATCTTCTCCCCCAACCACCCCGAAACAAGAAACGACAGTATAGTCGCCAGCTGCCCGGGAGCCATCGACGGCTGCGATTTTGCTGGTGTTATCGTAGCAATCGGCGCCACCGTGTTCGAGTCCAGGTCCTTTCGAGTCGGGGACCGAGTTTGCGGGGCCGTGCATGGGTCCAGCCCTCTCCGAGCCAACGCTGGAAGTTTCAGCTATAAAGATTCAAGTCATCTCCGACATCGTTTGCGCAGTAAGTTCTAACCATCGATGTCCTTGCTTTGTTTCTTTTATCTCACTTTTGGGAAGTGGTGTTATATTGCTAAGCGCAACCTCGACACGGCCATGTCTCTCTACCGAAAGACATATCAGATGGATCTCATGAAGCTGTTTATCAAAGTGAAAGAGGAGCAATCAGGTTGAGTGGCATCACTGGTCCAAGTTTGTAGACTAAATAGTCTTGACGAATCAATGCTCACTGAAAGCGATCCTTACATTCACACGTCATCTAACTACTACTTTTGTATACGAGAAGAGGTTATACCTTAGGTGTCTCCTATGGATAAGATTGTAATAGGTTGAGTAAATGATGGTTACGCCGAATGTAATCCTATGGTTTCTAATTTGAGTCGCTCTTGTGTCTCATATTACGAACAATTTCAGACATTTGTCCACAACACAAAGAAAAGCCAGCAAATTTCACACACAAACCCATAGTTTAACGTTAGCAACAATCTGATATAGGCTTTGTTTGAAAATTCAAGTTTGACATCTTCTTGTTCCTTCACAACTCAGTTGTGCGAGTTCAAACAATGGGGCTAGCAAATATATATACAACTAAAATCCCCACAATCATTCATTCTACCTAGGTAGCTATCAAGCTCTTTATCCCAAGAAGAAAAAGTGAGTTACCCTACAGTAACCGAAACATAAATATTCAACATGTCCGACCAGCAATCCGGTTTCTCCGCCCGTAACCAGGGACCTACAGTTCGTAATCCTGACACAGGATGTGCCGTCCAGCTGAGCGCTGAACTGAAGCCTACTGGCTTTGAGCATACAGAGAGGTGCAAATGTATCAAACCTGGAACAGACGGAGAGTGGAAGCTCTTATGCGATGGCATCAAACGTGCTATCGAGACTAAAACGTTAGACCTTGATAAAGCTAGTATGGTCTTCGCCGAGCTTCTCTTGGGTATGGGGGTTGATAGGATACCGATTGCGGCTACCTTTTCTCCGGGGAGGTAATGAAAGGCAGTTTCATTCCCAATGATATTATCAGTAAAATTATAATTCAGTAGATACTTAATTTTAGCATAATACTCTCGGGAACCTCCATAGCTGTAAGCTCAGTGGGGATGGTACCGGGGGTGTAAAAAGATAGAGATCTGAATAATAGAAAATAGAAAAATACAACAGTATCAAAATGTGATTATAATATCTCTACCTAAAGTATATTGATATTTAATTTTAGTTAGTACTCTTTTATCTCTTGCTTTTATAAGCAACTTTGCCCTTGGGAAGATTATGACATGACATACCGCAAGACAAGCAATGAGATAATAGGGATTTCTGTTTTGCAGGTTCGCAAAAATAGATATACTTCAACTACCTAGGTAGGTATGTAATGAAATCTCGTTGTAGAAGCGTGGTTCTACTCGATTGCTCGCCGTATGACGAATAATTCATTCCTATTTCACATTTCACATGGAGATAACTCACCTATCTAACCCCTGGAACTTTACGGTCTAAATACCTTACAAGACGGCTTTGGAATTACATCCCTCATAGATTTAAAGTTATAAGTTAGCTTCAGATTTATTTGGTAGTTTTTGGATAAATTATGCTCCAATCCACCTCAAAACGTAGCTCATAGGATATGTAAACCTCTGACCTAAGACTGTCAATCTTAGGATGTATCCCATGCTGCCCATGTCACAAGCAATTCATCGCTCTAAAACCTGTTTCGGCGACGTACCCATACAATTAATCCAACCCGACAGCTTCCTAGTCCAGTAAGTAAGCTGTGAGACTAACGATATCGAAGCTATTAACTGTCCACTTAAAGTAATCTTAATGAAACGCCTTATTAGGCTTTTGATTGAACAAGATGGGTAATTGAGATGTTTACGGACCGAGGAACAGAGAGCATGATGGCTATCTCTAACACATGATTCGATGGGCGCTAGTGCGCAGACCGATCGCTTTTCGCCTGAATAAGAAGGTCTTAGCTTATAGCGTTGCGATGTAACGCTGATCTGTGGAGAAGAGCGCGCATGATAACGAGAGCGTCTTCCCCTGACCTAAGCGCCGGACGGCGATGAAAAGCTTAAAAAGGAGGTAATGACCGCCTAGCACCGACTGGAAATGGAGGCATCATAGGTCGCGACAATATGTTATCTACTCGCATGTTCGGTGCCGGGTCCTTGGCTGTGCTGTGCCTAGCTCAGCCAGTCCTGGGCGGTACTCTCAAACAATGTACCGGTACGCTGGAGTTGTCATGCCATAACGACACCAAAGTCGCCGATACCTGTTGCTTCAACTACCCAGGAGGGTCGCTGTTGCAGACTCAATTCTGGGATACGGACCCTGCAGTTGGGCCTGATGATTCTTGGACTATTCATGGTCTCTGGCCGGATCACTGCGATGGCACGTACGACGCCACATGCGACAGCAAGCGTGCCTATACAAACATATCAGATATCCTAACGGCGGCTGGTAATAGCGATCTCCTTAGTTACATGGAGACGTACTGGCTGCCGAATGACGGCACAGGGGAGACATTCTGGGAGCACGAATGGGGAAAACATGGCACGTGTGTCTCAACGCTGAACCCGAGCTGCTTCACCAACTACAAAGCTACCGACGAAGTCTCCTACTACTTCAACACGACAGTTAGCCTATTCAAGACCCTAACGACGTATAAGTTCCTCGCGGACGCGGGTATCACGCCAAGCTCAAGCAAGACCTACAAGCTCTCTGACATCCAGGCCGCGCTATCTAAGAACCACAACGGCGAAACCGTCTACGTTGGCTGCAGCGGGAGCGCCATCGAGCAGGTTTATTACTACTTTAACGTGAGGGGTTCAGTTGCCAATGGCGAGTTCGTACCGGCGAGTCCGGACAACAGCGACGATGGGGGCTGTCCCAGCACGGGTGTCAAGTATCTCCCCAAGAGCGGGGGTAACGGGGGTGGATCGACGACCACGACTACTTCCAAACCAACGAGCACAACATCGGGTGGATCCTCGCCAACGCCAACAGGGTCATTCTCAGGAAAGGGGTATCTAAACGCCGTAGTCAGTGGCTCTACAAAAGGGTGTATCATCGGGAGTGGCACCTGGTACACGACAGGAACCTGTGCGACATTTACAGCCGCTTCTTCCGGAAGCGGCTTTACACTCAAGTCCAGCAAGGGCTATTGCTCCGCGTCAGGTGGCTCTCTGACTTGCGCCTCTGGCATCAGCAGTGCTGACGCTGACGTCTTCGCTGCGGATGGAACAAATCTGGCGAATTCCGGTGGCAATGACTGGTATGCCGATTCGGTCCCCAGCGGCTCTACACAGGGTGCTGTGTATTCTGAGAAGGGATCGCATGTGACAACGTTGCAGATACAATGGAAAAGCATCTGATAAACGCGTACTAGACGTGAATACTATTCCAACATGACCTTCCTCTGAGCGAAGATGTATATATATTCTTAAAATAGTGCTTACCAATGAAATGAGCCCAGCATGAGCCCTACACAAATTACATTTAGAGCCAGATATGAGTAACGAGTCATGGTACGAGGTAATATATGAATTGACGATGCTTGTTATTGAGGACCAAGTCGATCTTTACTCTATGTATTATCTTTACTCTAGTGTCCTAAAAGACACCCTTTGCCTATGAAGCAAGCTTACTGTTAGCCGGGGCTATATATCCTTTCTCTTGTCATGTATATAATTGCTTCTTACCGCACAATGTATAGAGGATTCATAGCTCCAACTGTCATATTGCCGCTGCTCATGGATACAGTTTCCATCCTCCCGTTACTTGTCGTTGAAACATTCCAATTGCATCATACTCCAGCGCCACTTTCCTCAGATCGTCCAATTGGCCAGTAGTGTGTAATGGTTGCTGAAAATCTGCATCTGCATAATTCATGTATCTAAATTTGTGAGCAACACCCTCTTCCTCCGCAATACGGTCCACGTCGTTAATGAAGTCGGCAGCAGAACCTCGTACCTGTGCACCGGCTTCAGGATTTTCCCAGAAGTTAGATATCAGAACTAAGACCAGATCTTTTTGAGGAGTTGATGCTGGATCAAAGCCCAAGCTGTTTAGCTTAGTCGGGTCTGTAGCTGGAGGTGGGATAGATTGCAAAGTAAGAGATGATGTGATAGTCGCATTGTGTGGTAGTTTCTCAGCATATGCTTTCCAAATAGCATGCACCTTCTTGATAATTGTCGGGCACATTCTAAAAGTCGTCGTAGCATAGATCGAGCTATCACCTTATTAGGGCTGTAGTAGTTGTAATAACCGTGCGAAAATGCTTACCTCTGGTTCGGAGTACTAAATGATTGCACTTCATATGAGAAGTCCGTGGCATTGGAAATACGAAGTGTACTGGAGATCTGAGGTTGAATATCGGTATAATTCTTTAAATTCAATGGGAATTCTCGGGGCTTCGTGTAGAAGATGCTGTTCGAGACAAGAAATGTTTGGAGAGGTTCAATGTATACATGACTCTGCTCTACCGAAGACGAGGGATCGAAGTTCTCGGGAGTCTTCCAATGTGTAAAAGCTTCTAGCTGTTTGGCAGTTGTTGAATTGGGATAGACGATACTGCCGCCCCAAAATTCACCTTTAGAAATTGTCGTAATATCCCATCGTGTGACAACTCCGAAGTTATTCTGACCACCTTTCAACGCTTTGAACAACGCCGGATTCGATGTCGCATTGGCGTTAATGATATCACCGCTTGATAGAACGACTTCCATGTTCACTACAGCATCGCATCCAAAGCCATATTGAAGTGCAAAAAACCCAATTCCACCTAGAATCCCAATTTGAGAAATCAGTAACTAACTTTTTCAGCCATAGTCTGATATGAAATCACGATATATACCTCCCGAAAGAAAGCCGCCGATACCGACCCCAGAAGCCCTGCCTCCATTTAGCGAACGATTGTGGGTATCCAGGACGGCGTATACATCTCCCCACAAGGCTCCGGTGCCGATTGAAGCAGTAATACCATCTTCAAGGATATCAACACCATGTATTGAAGTCATATCCACTGTGACACCGCTGTCGATGTTCGAGAATCCTCCATTCGTGCCATGGCCCCCGCTTCTGATAGCAAATTGAGTCGCCGGTGACCTTCGTAGCGCTTTTAACGTTGTGGCTACCTCAGCAGAATCCGAGGGCTTGACGATGCAAGAGGGCTTCAGAATCTGCTGCTGGACATAAGCATAAGAAAAAACGGAGGCATTATATTCTGCGCCCCCCGGAAAGAATACTCTGTTATTTATCTTTGATGCTAATATTTGGCATGCTAGATTTGAATTCCATTCAATTGACGTTGAAAAAACGAAAGGAGTGAGAAAGCATAGCGTGAGTAAGGAGGCCGATGAAAGAGACATGTCTAAGGAGTTGTAGTTTTACTATTATATTAAGCATATAAGTAAGGGCCAAAAGCAGATGTTCAGCTCAGTGAACGTCAGTGATATGTTACGGGTTAAAATTATTTGTTGATTTAAATGTGCCTAAAATATATTTTTACAATAAAACAAAAAGGTTGGTTTAATTTTCATTATTATTTTTATTATTATTACTATCATCATTATTATTATTATAAATATAAATTATTTAAATTTTTTATTTAAGATTTTAGTACTGGTTTATGCTTGTAAGATTTAGATTAAATCTTGTTATTTTAAGTAAATTCGATTTTACGCTCATATATCTGCTGAACCTCTACCCGAAATCTGTCTACTTTTATCCTAAGCTTTGCATATACCAACAACCCCCTTTTCTAACATGTCATTCAAAGGATCCGTTTTGATCACTGGCTGCAGCAATGGAGGAGCCGGTGCTGCTATGGCGATGACTTTCCAGAAGGAAGGTTACCAAGTCTTTGCATCTTCTCGCAACTTAGGAACTATGTCCAATGTCGAAAGTCTGCCAAACGTCAAGCTGATTCAGCTTGATATTACCAAAGCCACAGATATCCAAGCTGCCACAGACAGTGTAAGCAAGGAAACCGGCGGGACTCTAACGTATCTTGTCAACTGTGCTGCTCGCAATCACTTCATGCCATTGCTAGATGAAGACATTGAAGCCGGAAAAGCACTGTACGATACCAATGTCTGGGGACCGCTGGCAGTGACTCAGGCTTTTGCGCCTTTCTTGATCAAGTCCAAAGGGACTGTTGTTTTTATCACATCATTATCAGGATACCTCAACGTGCCCTATCAAGGTCTGTTCTTTTCTACTGTGTTTACTTAATAGCTACCTGTGTGCTTAGGTATTTTCTAGGTACATTTGCCGCGTCCAAACGGTCCGAAGAAATCATGGCAGAAACTTTGAGACTTGAACTTGCTCCGTTCCATGTAAAAGTTCTCTCCGTCGTGACGGGTGCTCTCAAAACCATGGGACAAACTCACTTTGACGATTGGAAGCTGCCAGATAAGTCTCTATATGCACCAATCGAATCAACTATCTGCGATAGGGCTCGTGGCCAGGAAGGTGCGCCTAGAATGGATGCTATGGATTATGCCAAGCGTGTTGTATCCGAGATCATCAAGGGTAGAACGGGGAAGTTCTGGTACGGAGCGAGTGCAGGGGCAGTCAAATTTGGCACGTCGTATCTTCCAACATTCCTTATGGTAGGTAAAGCTTTCAATTTGTGATGTACGCTTCACTTGCAGTTAATCCCCGCTTACTTTTTAATAGGACAGTGGCGTGCAGATTAAAACCGGTTTAGATGTGTTGGCGAAACAGAACAAATAGGATGACGCGAATAATTGTAGTATATTCAGACTACAGTCAGTGTTAAGAGCTTATATTTGGGGGCTTATGCAAGAGGACAAATAGAATGTGACTGTAAAATGTTACATATCAGGACTTCTTTATTGTCAATTCATATATTTAACCCAACTGTGTTTGGTTCTAGCCTGGCCTCAACGTAAGCACCCCTCATCCCATTGATCCTAATTGTACGACAAACAAACGTACCTAATGCTACCTACCTACCTCCTTGCCTAGGTAGCCTACCTCATTATAAGGCTTTGTGTCACCCACTCCCTTTATTCATGCTACCTCCTTATCTCCTGTAGTACCAACCTGCATGCTCCAACTCGCAATAGTCCTAAAGGATTTGAGAGACATCTTATGTTACCTTAGGTACCTAGTTAAGCAAGAAGCAGGATGTTATATCCGTTGATATGCATGCAGGTCTTACGTTCAATTCGTTACAGTAGCCTTGGGATAATCCTTCTAGTATGACATGAAATAATATCTTCGAACCCGACATAAGGCTTCACTAAAAGAATAATCATGATATGTGTAACTCGATTTCAATCTCGATCGCTTCTTTCTTCTTCTCCAGGCAAGATAAATAAATTCTTTTTATTTTTTATTGTGTGTAGTAGCCTTCGACAAGCTATCAAGTGTCATTTATCATAATAAACGAAACAAACTACCACCGAGGCTCATAGCAAAGCCCATAATAAAGCCTCCGTACTTCTTGTACTCTCTAACTGGTACTGTAGTACACTTAAGTTACTACTCTCTGGCCTTGAAATTGGCTTTCACACCCGGGGCCGGCAATGTTAAGGTCCTCCAATTGATTGTATACTTGCGGTTCTTTTCGACCATCTCCGGGTCATATACATCTAGGATATGGTATATTACATGTTTCATGACATATGAGACAAAGAAACGCCCCGGGCTAAGTAAAAACGTCAGTAACACAAAACTGAATATAACCATGTAGAGTTCCTTAACGTACCAAGTTAGCTTGCCAGTGCCCCATACATGCCATGTTTCGGACACGTCAGTGAAGTTTGATGGCCCCTCTGGTTGTCTCGAATGCTCTCTCCCCGTAAGTTTTGGGCTTGCGAAGCGGAATCCATCGAAGACTTCAGGCTGAGGATACTTTGATGCATCTTGTAGCATAGGACCTACTGGAATGCCTACCCATTCTCCCTTTGGGACGTGTGTGCCATCTGAAAATGTGAACCCCTTCAAAGTGCATCTGCGTCCAGTTACTTTGGAAATATCAGTATTATCTACAGCTTGCAAGCAATATAAGAGTCGAGTAAAGTGGAATACCAACCGGATTCAACTGGAGTCCACCGTGAGCACTCCTTTAAAAAGCTATCCATCAACGGAAGGCCTTCCCCTTCTATGAAGAATTTGCTGCCAGCGGGACTTTCCATTTCTTCACGAAGCGGGTCGATATACTCAGGATGTTCACACAAGCTGTAGATAGCAAATGTTAAAGTCTAGGTCCCGACGTTTAGTTAGTGGCATATCTATACTTTCCACTGGTGCACCTACAGTTGCTAAACCTTGCACGGAGCCGAACCAAATTGCCATGACTTCGAAGGCCATCCTCCCAGGTGTCCAGGGCTTGGATTTTGGCGATGTGTCAATAATCCACTGTATAACATCGTTCTATGTCCAACAAAGTTAGAGGCGAATATACTGAGTATTTAGTCCATGCTACTTGCATATTTCTTTTGAGGGTTGGGATTATTCATCCTCTCCTCGATAATAGCCACCAAGCCGTAGAAGAACGTTCGTTGTCGCTTGAGAAACAAAGGAATAAATATTCCAACCAATCTAGAACATTATTAGCTAATATACCGTGAGCTTCGAATGCTAATCTTACGGAACAAGGAAGTTAGGCGTGAGGCGGAGGAGTTCGGAGCCGTAGAGCACATCTTCGTTGTAGTAATACGCGGCATCGATAAACTCTGTATTTTCCGCTGTTTTAATTAGTCAACGATAAATGGCTAGGTTAGCTTATTGCGAATGATATAGTTACCATAATCCAAGCCGAAGAATGCATATGCGCTAATTTTGGTAACAACCTTCTTTGATAAAGCCAGCACTTTAGGATTATTAGCTCGGCATGGATACAGTGAGGATTAAGAAGGTACCGTTTATACTCCCCTCTCGCCCAAGTTCCTGAGCGAAAGTCCTATCAACAATAACTCGGACACCGGGGGTCAATTGAGGCAAATGACTAGTTAACAAAGTGCGCAGAGTCCGGACAAATCCAATGCCTTCAATCCCTCTCTGGTCATGCCAGTTGAACCCATTCATGGTATATTCCGGCATGAGAATCTGCGATTGTCAACAAGAGCATTGGCAATTTATTAATAGCGCACCTTTTTGGCCGCGGCGTGTAGAGACAGCTGATCGTTGGTTGCGTTCTTTATATCATCGATAAGCTCAGGAGAAGAAACCAAGGTCATCCAGCTCTCGGGAGTATAGAATCGGAGGGAGTTTCCTTTCATCTACCAAATGATAGATACGGATTAGCTTTAAATCTAACAGGAGTACGGAATAGTGAAGTTAATATTACCTGATCGTACGCAACTCTGATTCCAGAGATTGCGGTGATAGGGAAAACAAATTCTTCCCACAGGGCTTTCAGCTGGCTCTTCAAACGTGACATGGAAATGATCCGCGGTAGATTCGAGGGCTTCAGATACGGTAGCTTCTGAATTGTCGGCAGAAAAGAGATGATCAGGGATACAGTAGCATGAGCAACGACTGCAGATGTAAGGCATATGATAGGTGTAAAGATGAACACCGGAAATGATACATTAACAAGACTAAAGAGGAGGAACTCCATTCTGATGTTCTAATTAGTAACTACTATACTATTCTGTGTAAAGAGTTTTCACTATTGATGAAACTTTCGGTTGCAATAGAATGCCATATACTATGAACTAAGAGAGGAATATATTATAACTTCAGATTTTATTTTAATGGCTCGATAAGAGAATATACCTAATAGCCAACATGCACCTTAGGCAACTAGGTGTATGATAACTAACTTCGTTGTCTCGTTCGAAAATCCAACCAATGGTTGTTTGTGAAACTAGTCCTATATTAAGCATCTCTCATTGTATTATGCACTCATCATGTCTAGGCCTCGGGCCGTTCCCAGTCTTCCGGCTCATAAGCTTACTGTCACACCATGTTTCGGAAAGCCCCATTGTGGAAGTCGGTGATAGTGGTGTAGGTCTATTAGGATTCCAGATGAGATGTATCTCCCATAAACACCTGGGTACCTAAGGTAGGTAGGTACCTAGGTTAGATGATTACCTGGTGGCTGACCGGATGGATGACGGGTACCAGCGCGAATCTCGTAGTCTCGCCCCCAAGCCACACAATCTTCTTCCACACCTCTGGATCGCGATATGCAGAAGACGGCCAACGGATAGTGTTGGAGCATCAACAAGTCTCTTGGCCCCCTCATTAATGGCGCAGAGAAGGATGAAGCTAAGCATCACGCATCAGTACAGAACTGCAGGACACCACCACTATCGGGCACACATCTTGCGGAGACCGGGGAACACGCCGAAGCGCTTGCTTAAAATAATAAACCGAAATATTATTGCATAAATCAATATTTTTAAGTAAATCAATACTTTACCCTAAAAGTCCACCCTTTTTGCTACTCATTCTTTTGTGCCTTTCCTTAGTAGCAAACAGTGGTAGACCTTGCCTCCTTTACCATGGATGCGTTACCACCGGGTATAGATCTTTCTCAAGTTCCTCTAGCTGCAAACCCAAACGGTGATCCGCCGAACTTCGTTAATCCACCTTCTCTCATTTCTACGGTACAGGCTGTCGGGATCACCTTAGGCCTAATTTCCCTCGTCCTGGTTATTTTGCGGCTCACTGTTTATCATCGGACTAAACGTGGAGTTGGCTTTGATGATGGTATGTGTTCCTCAGAACCCGTGTGATAATATTTAGGCTGAATAGGCTTAGTATTTGTTGTCATGGCATTCCTGCTCGCTGCTGGTTATACAGGCATATCCTGTAGCCGTATGTCAACTATCCCCTAAGGCATGATCTCGAACTAAGTCGCATTTTCAGTCAAAGATGTCACGAGGCATGCATGGGATACACCAATAAGCTTTCTTGATGTGGCCTATCTCAAGGTGCACCAGTGGATTTCTATAATAGCGCTTGGGATTGAACGCGGATATCTAATGACCAGTGTAGAAACTCTTCGTTACTAGCCTATTTTACGGACCTATGCTCTTCTTCGCCAAAGCATCAATTCTTTTACTTTATTACCGAGCTTTTCGACCGATAAAATGGTTACGTATCAGTATATACGTTATACTGTTTATCCTTTTCTGCAGCTATATTGTAACGGGTAAGTTGAACGAATATCAGTGTAATGGGGTAATAACTAAGAGTCATTTCAGTTCCCCTATGCTTCAACTATTGTATGCCGCACAATGGTAAAGCGTGGGACCTTACTGTGCTCTCCAATTGCAATCATTTATCTACCCCTGGATTGGTACAAGCTGGCATAAATATCGCCGCAGATATCACTATATTTATCCTTCCACTTCCAATTATTTATAAGTTACAGATGCCTACCGGAAAGAAGTTTGCTCTTGCCTGTGTCTTTGCTACAGGCTTATTGTGCGAGCTCCTCTCCTTATATTCCTACCTGTACTAATTTTGTTCAAGTGCTTTAGTTGCCAGCATATTGACGGTATCTTATCGTATCAGCATTGTAAGAGGTGGTGATGCATCTTGGGCGGGGGCACAAACATACATCTGCATGTAAGCACGAATTGTAACCATTCTTAGCTGTAACCAGGTACCTAACTTTACACATAGACAAGCAGAAGTCTATGTATCGATCTCAGTCGCTTGCATGCCGTCACTTGCCAAAATTTGGAACGTGAGGCTTACCGAGACGAGGATATATAAAAATATGCAATCACTTTTATCCTTCACAAAGAGCAAGCCATCCTACAATAACACCGGCGAGTTTACAATAATTAGCGAATCTACAATACAGCTGCAGACAAGCGCTCAGAAAGGAGATCCTAATGACCTTGAAGCACAGGCGGGACCTCGAGGAATATATATAGCGACTTCTCTCGAATTGACCTCGATGGAGAGACCGCATAACCCATCCTTCCCACACTAATGCTGTCCTGTATTTCTACTTGATTCGTGGTTATATTGTTGGGACCTCGGATCACCGAAACATCTTGGCAAGGGTCATATAGGTCAGGTGGTTATACGAATGATATTATTATATTGTTTCATGGTTCTTCGAATAACAATGCATTGTTTTCATCGTTTTTGTTCGTATCCTTAGGATTTAGGTTAGGTAAATAATAAACCACTACTATGAGCAATTCATTAGGAAGATCGGATCGGAAACATCGTAGATTTTGGAATCCCCCTCACCCACAGCAACATTGCCTGCATATCTACCAGCTAGGCACCTAGCCTGTACTTACTACTATAAGCACTATAAGACGTCCACCCCAAGGAGTTGATGCTGAAAATGCAGTCTGAAAAATACGAGATAATGCAAAAGGAAAGACTTGGTGATTGAAAGCTAGCTAGTATAGCCTGAATTTTCCACCTTGGCTACCTTAGATACCTTCTAACCTATACATAGGCCATATAAGGCAGTGCAATAAACAGTAATCGAATTCATAGGGATATAGAGAGAGCAGCCGATACATCATGAAGCACTAGTTTCGTAGCTTAAACCCACCAGGAGTGCCCTGCTGAAATACGCCTTCTGGGTCATATTTTTCGCTGGCCTCCTTAAGCTTTGAGAAGCCTTCTGGGCCATATCCTGCAAGGACATCATCTTCCTTATAAGCATAGTTGGTAAAAATATACCGGTGCAGGGATTCCTTCTCGCTTGCAAGTCGTCTCAGCTCGGTTATGAAATCTTGTACCGCTACAAATATACGGTTGTCGTCCTCTGCTAGCTTCCAGGTCGGATTAATCAGCACTACAAATAATGGTCCATCCGAGGATGGGATAGCCATCGCATTGCCACCCGCCTTTGCTGAGTTCTCCAGTAGAGACTTGGTCAAAGGATGGAACCCGAGAGTAAAAGTTAACCCCTCGGCATCCTTAATCTTGACGAGTGTTTCCTGCCACTTATTGTAGAAAGATTTCATCAGAGAAACATCCGGCTTGATGGTGACCGAAACCCAATATTGCCTGCCAAAATATAAGTAAGAGGTACGGTTAAATTATATCCCGTTAATAAACTCACCGTAATCCGTCACCTGAGAAGCTAGACAGCTCTTCACAAAACCCGAGGTGCGTCGACGTTCGCATGGTGCACAGTTGCTTTATTTGCGGCTCTACGGTTGTAAAGCGTCGCAGAGAAGGGGAATCTTCTTCCCCTTTCGTGTGATACATGACGCAAGTCACGGCTTGTTGACCAAACCCGTAGCCAATGCTGCACATGAGATGTGTATCTTCATCTGATTCATCATGCGCGAAGTCACAGGCATTCTGGAGAAGTTGTGGGAACGTATCGGGCATGTAATACGTTAAGCCGCCCCATATATCCCCCGACGAAAAAGTCTTCATCTTGAAGGAGGTGACAATTCCGAAATTGTTCAAGCCACCCTTCAAACTTCGCCAAAGGTCGTTATTCTCTTCTATGCTTGCACGAACAGTCTCACCAGATGCGAGGACCACCTGGAACTCGGTGACTGAGTCGCATGAAAACCCCGTTCGCGCCGAGAACATGGACAATCCCCCTATAATCTAATTAGCAAGAATAAGAATCGCATGTTTCGAGTTCGATTACCTCCCAATATGAAACCGGCAACACCGAGGCGCCCAACGCGGCCGCCAGCTACTGTCAAGCCATACTTCTCCAGTTCAGTATAGACATTGGTCCAAGTTTCTCCAGCACTAATGTCCACCGCTGACCGGTCATCGCTCAACTTAACCCCTTTGAGGTCTCGCATATCGATTGTAACACCATCTTGGATATTCGCACTGCCGGCAAATGGAGTGTGACCAGCACCTCGAATAGCTATTTGACAGTCTCCTGAAAGGACATGCGGGCGGAGGGCTCGGACCAAACCCTGCACTTGTTCGGCACTATTTGGACTAACAATATATGAGGGCTTAACTTCGATCTCAAAAGCGCTGAAGTATGAGCCATTCTCTTTCTCATATTCAGCGCTGCCAGGCTGCCAGACCGAAACTCCGGAGACGCTTGTTAAAGATTTAAAAATCTGCGGGCCATCTGAACTTGCCATGTTGATATATATGCCTGTCTTCGTAAAATAGTGATGGGTTTGGACCAAATTAACGGCGAGGCAACGAGGGAGTGCGACAAGTATTTATGTTCGATCATGTAATATGCAGAAATATAAAAATATAAAAAATATGTAACATATAAAGGTTACTAGCCAAAAACAGCATGGTATATTTAATATAAAATCCGTAATATTATAAGTATTTCTTTTATGCCCTCATCCGTAATGGTGTGTTGCACAAGATCCTCACGGCATCCCGCTTGTATACAACAACGCCCCAGGCCCAGGCCCCTTTAGTTCAGCTGCCTGCCTCGATAGGTAGTAATCGGTTAGATTACTAAATATCGAACGCGCAATGCCTGGGTGTATTTAAAATAACCATTCTCGGAGTCTCCATCATATAGCAATACGTTTATTACTTGATCTCATTACTTACCGTCCTATTCAAAATGGAGTCATCATATGTAGAGGCTGTGATGATAGCTGTAGCCAAAGATGCTCGCTTTGCTATCCTGGGGATAACAGTTTTTCTATTTATATCCTGGAGACTTTTCACATTCACTATCGTTCCCCTACTTCATCCGAATGATCCCAAAGAATACCCTTACTGGATCCCGGTTGTTGGTAGGCGTTTCCCAACTCGTTTGATCTCCACAAGTCGGTAACAAAGCTAGGCCATCTACGATCCTTCTTTAAGAATTCGAGCCAACTATTATCAGAAGCAAGGTAAAATACATCCTTTTTCTAGCGATACATTACTAATATGCGCCACGTAGGTTGTATTTTCATAACAGTAGGGAACCCTTCGCCCTAACAGCTGGGGGGCAGAAGTGGTACGTTCTTACCAAGGCTGAAGATGTCGCCGCGACATACAAAATTGATAATGGCTCTCTATCATATGACATTTTCGCCGTTGAAGTTATGCGTATGGTAGGGATCTCAGAAGAAGGGATCCGCAAGGCTTTTCAGACGCAGGGTGCTGAAAAGGATAACCACATATCTAAGCCGCACAAGCACTTGGTCAGACTCTGTAGGGAGTACCAACTGGAGCAGCTTTCACCCGGAAGTCGCCTAGACCGGCTAGTGGGAATGGCTATTGATACAATGAAGCTTCATATGGATGTTGAGATGATTGCACAGCAGAAATGGTACGCCTCATCAATTTGTGATGGTTGTATCACCGTCTCTCTCTACCAATGGCTCTCTGATGTCTTCATTGACATGGGAACTCAATTATACTTTGGAAAACTACTGAAGGAGATAGAGCCTGATATCGTTCGTATATTCATGGCCTTCGAAACTCTTTCCTGGCAGGCCATGTACCAATACCCTAGTTTTCTATGCGGCGAGATGATGAGCGCCAAATCCAAACTTCAGAATGGGCTAAAAACCTACTTTGCCATTCCCAAGGAGCAAAGAAACAATACGTCATGGTTTATATCACAAATTGAGAAAGATATGGATCGTCTCAATGTAGCAACAAATGATAGGGCGATATTCTTCTTTCAGCTCTTCTGGAGGTATGTTTACGGCTTTCATTCGCTCCTCATATTTCATATTGCAAGCCATGTTAGCTAACCACATACAGCATTAATGGCAACACTCGAAAGGCGCCATTCTGGCTACTTTCATACCTCATTTTTGATCAAGATCTCATGAAGCTTATCCAGGCCGAGACAAGGCCTGCTCTACAAAATAATGGTGTTGATATTGCTTATCTCCTCGACTCTCAAACCTGTCCACGACTAAACAGCATCTGGGATGAAATGACTCGACTCACTGCTTTCGCTGCTTCGGTTCGGTTTTTAACCCGCGACATCGAGCTAGGAGGTAAGATTCTACGTAAGGGCAACCGCCTTATGATGCCACAACGGCAGTTACACTTCAGCGAACAGGTGTTCGGAGACGATGCATCTAAGTTCAATCCGGACAGGTTCTTGAAAAACCCAGCACTTCGAAGGAACCCAAGTCTCAGGCCATTTGGTGGCGGAGCTACTATGTGCCCCGGCCGCAATCTAGCGAAGCAGACAACATTTGCATTTGTCGCAATTGCCATAAATGTATTTGATTTGGCTCTGGACCCGCCTGGCCAAAAATTCCCTGAAGCTGCAGAAGGAAAACCATCAATCGGATTAGTTGACTTGCAAGATGGACATGACCTGCTTGTGAGGCTTTGCCCAACAAAGGCCTACTTCGGTCTAAGGGGCAGTTAAGATTTGTTTGTAGAAGGTCTTTTGGATTATAGATATACGCAGATCCGTCTGGTAGCTTTTCTACTATAATCAAACAGCATGGAAACAACTTTGTTCTGCGAGGAACTCTCACCTAACTAGCTACGAGAGTCTAAGTCTACCTATGCATATCGAACATGTCCTTTGTTCTAGACGTACTCTACTACTACCAAACCCGAAATCATCTATCATGAGATTTCGAGGCTGGATCTTCAGTCTCAATCATCAGCAGGGTATGGACGGAATCTTCTCCCACGTGCAATTCTTGCATCGACAATGTCTACATCCATTCGTGGTGCACATGATCTCTTGAGGTGCAAATGTGTGCTTGCACCTGCAACTATAAGTTCCGTCAGCCAACCGTAAATACATGAAAGGGGTTAACCTAGATGAGCAGGGCCACTGTGCAGTGTCTCGGAAAGGCCCCCCCTTGCCGCGTGCGCCAAAGATCAACCACACATGGCAGCCGGAATGACAAGAGAATAAATAGATGCTTACCATTTCCAAAGATGGGTTGCGTAGAGAGGCGGGTCCTGTTTATAAGGCGGATCCGGGGTCGGCGGCCTTGGTGGCGGCTTGGGAGGGTTAACTTTGTCTTTTGCGTGATTCCCTAGAGATTCGCCCGCCATTGAGGATAAACTGCCGAAGCTGTAACAACAAGGGTAGGTATGGATCAAGCTATCAGGACAAGAATTTGTATATCGAGAAAGATCGCAAGATGGCGTGTTGGTTGAGACAATATCGGTGCTGTTGATTTTATAACCTAAAAGTCTATGCCATTGGATGTCAAGGGGATCTTTTTGAGTTTAAATAGATCTTGGACTAAGATGATGACTGGTAACTGTCTACAATGGTTGACGCATCGTCGCGCAGATATCTTCTAGACTCCCTTGGAAAACTGACTTAGATACTATGAGTAAGATTCCCAGCTGTATAGTGCTAACCTCTGTACGTCACCAACTCACCTAGAATTCATAAATACTCCCGTAATGAGTAGTTCTGTCGTCTCGACTTATGGATTAGGTATATAAATTAAATCGCGATGTTTCCCCAGTCGCCTCTAGAAGATAGGTATTTAATCTTGACGTATCTGGAGAAATAACCTCTCGATACCTAGGTACTAAAGGCAACACGAGCGAGATATTAAGGTCAAGCCCTAGAAAATAAGGGGGAAGGGCGTTCACTTATAGACACTCGGGTGGTATTCCAAAGATTCAATTATAATATACCACTCTACCGCGACTAAATAGTCAAGGATAGAGTAATATTCGAAGACAGGGTATTATTGAGCTTATATGGATAAATGAAGACAGCCTTGAGGACCAGAGGAATAATTTCAGCCTATGAAAAACCTCTGGTTGATGCTCTTCCCCTAGTTTCACCTATTGTGGCTCTATCTATGAATGCTTCCTTTAACACCGTATGATAGGGGACGGTACTTTGACTAAAATTATGTGCTCAATGCAAGACAAGCATCAACTGCAAGACCAACCCTATAGGACTCAAGTATTAGCAAGTTAAAATATCCAGACGATGTGGTGAGCAAACTAACCTTCCCTCTTTCTGATAGACAACATCGCTAATGATGTCTCGGTCCAAATCCGGAAACATACTAGCCAGAGTTTCTACAACATTGTTGTGCTCTGCTCGGTGGATCCTCTGAGCTTCGGCAACCTCAGCGCTAGCCTGCCTTGCTGCGGCTTCTTCAGCTGACAATCGCTGGCGCGTATCCATCGAAGGGGGCTGCCCATCAACGCTGGGCCGAGGACTAAGTCGTGACGTAGTTTCTGGTTGAGGCATACGGGCAGACGAACTGGGACCAGCACCGCTTGGATCCTCCGAAAAGATACGGCCGATAGACGACAAGGGCCTTTGAATTGAACGAAGTAAGCCGGATATTGCTGGACTCTCTTCACCGGAGTCATCATCGTTGGATGACGAAGATCGACGTGGTGTGGCTGGCCCATCCATATCGAGCGATGGGCGTGTCGAAGAGGTGCCCGGGGGATACAGTCCAGTCTTTTCGGACTGCCGCGGCTGTGCTGCAGTAGGCGGCTCCTCCGCTCTATGTTTTTCTGCAATAGCGGAGACGGCTGCTTCTACGTTCTTGTCGAATTCCTCATCGGATATCGTAAGAGAAGTACGGTCCATGCTCTCGATGAATTGTATAGCACCCATCTAGTTTACAAGGTAAGCAGACAAAATTATTAAACGGATACTATTTCGAGGCTCACCAAAGATGAAAGATAATATCCAGCTTCCCCGCCGAGTTTTTCCTGGTTCCGGAATCGCAAAATATAATGAACATTAGAGACCAGGTGGTCGGGATTAGACCGTAAAACGACGTATATCAAAAGCGGCATGAGAGAGTCAGCGGAAGAGTCGGATTTATTATGTTTAAGAAGGCCTAAACTCCCAGTTAGTTAATGCTATGACATGTTGACATGTCGATCTCTATACCAAATATGACTTTGCAGCAGTTAAGAACGCAAATGATCTTGTCTCGAGGTGCTCTGTAGGATTTAATTTTTAGGAGTTCTAGAATCGTTAGCGATTAAGCGTCGGTTATAAGAACGTGGAAAACGTACCCTGCTGAGCTAGAATGAGAAATCTTTTGCCGCTATCACTGGCAGGTGGGATATCTAAGTGCTCTTCTCGGACCCAGCTATATATATTGATCTTCTGCGCTAGTATTTCGTCCCTCTCTACGTCCTCTTGGTGCTGCCCGCGTCGCCCTGGCCCCAGTGGTAGATCACCCCCTCGGCGCTTCGGTTTTGCGCCTGGGATAGGTTGGGGCGGAGGTATTGCGGGTGAAAAGGTCTGCGTGTAGAGCCTGTTCATGACAAGCTTCTCCATTCCTTCTCGGGCGTTGTCGAATTCTGCGTCCGACACCTCGCTCCATACCTCACATTGGGCCATTTTATTGGCTATGAACGTAAGAAAATCGCTAATAATCTTAACTTGCTCGTGAACCATCCACTGACGTTTTGCAAACTCGGACAAAAAAGACTTGAGATACCTCGCAACGGGATCGGCCTTCTTATGTTTGAGCTGTTCTAAAAATCGGTGGAAGTCAAACGGCAGAGCTGGTTCTGGCTCGGGATCTGGAGGTGGGGGTCTATGCAGGGGCGCCACAGATGAAGTCTCATCTGACGGCCCGTCCTTGGGCGGGACCGGCGGACCGTAGTCATCGGGCTCCTTTAGCTTATCCCTTGACCGGGCACTTGTCGGCGAGGTGTTGGAGATCCTTAGACTTTGCACGTCTTGTAGCTGCTGAGCAATACTCGGCGCAAGGGGCTCAAGGCTGGATTTCCTTGGCGGATGCTGTACCGGGGGGCTACCTAGAAGAGGTGAAGCAATCTCAAGCCGCGGGCTCATCACTTCATCTGCTCCTGGGCCACCGCCATCTTCGGGGAACTGTTCCATGATACTCTGAATTTCCGAACGAGATGCGCCTTCTTGCTCATCCTCGCTTGCATAACGCCTCTCGTCATATCCGGCATCGGATCGAGTTGGGGAGGGCTCTAGACCGTGCCCCTTGGGTCGATGGGAGGAGTTGGCTCTGGACGGCGGCTGGGACCCGTCGGGAGTAGGAGGCGTCGGGTCAACATATGGGGCAGTTGTGATAGTTAAGTATTGTGGCTTCTTGGGTTTGAGGGTCGCGACAGAAGATTCCATAGGGTCAACTGGAACGTCGGACGTAAATTCTTGACCAGTCTTATCCACCGATACATCTACAATCTTGGTATCTTCCTCATGGGTAGCGTGATCGGCTGGGGGCTTATCCTCGGCAGGGTCTAGGGCTTGGTTGTCTAGGGCTTTGGGCTCCTGTATGCCTTCCTTCGTCTCGCCATCTTTAGATTTACTTGGAGCCTCGACCTGTCCCGACTCCGACGGAGTAGCCGTGACGGTCGGTAAAGTATCTAGCGGATCGGCGGGCTTTTGATCCCTCATGGCGGGGTCATGGTTGGAGGTGATAGCAACCTCTGGTCTGACAAGAGGGCTTGCAGACTCTAGTAGAGACTGTTCAGGAGGAGGCATGCATGAAAGCTCGAGTTGCTTAAGCGGTATGTAGGTAGTTTAGGATGTAGAGATGCTTTTAGTTGTGAGGTGGAGATAAGAAATGTTGCAGCAACTTTATGAGGTACCTAAGTTAGATAGGCGGCAGGTACAGCAGGAGAGCAGGCAGAGCCAGGCAATAATAGTATGTGCATGTGCTGGGATAGTTTATCGTTATCGCTTTCCTAGAAACGCGTGAAACTGTAAACCCTGGAGACTCGCATAAGGTTGCTCCAATTAATGCCGACTGACGCCAAGTTCCGGGAATTACACTGGAGCTTGAATACCGCCACAGCTTAATTAGACGCTAACAGATGCCAAAAGCTAAGCCACTAGAGGCACCTACCGACTCATGTGTACAAGGCGCATATCTGATCTGCACCAGTACCTAAGAGGTTGTTCAAACATAAATTGCTCAATGAATTTGATAAACATTGGTGGTTTAAGGAATCTATATTCATGCTATAGCTTATTAACAGGTCATAGTTAGTATGGTTTATTCCAACTTTTAAGTTTTGTGTTTAAATGAAGACCTAGTTACTTGATCCTTTTGGCTTATCTTTGTTTAACGGCTTTATATACATTTACAAAGCAGCTACCAAGATCTCTTATGATAAGTAGCCTATTGATGGCTATATAGCAAATTTAATAACTAACAACTATATCATATGCTGTAAGTTGGGTGCTTCTCTAGTATAAAATTCTTATTTTTAAGCCGAGTAGGCGGAGATATTGCCAAGTAATAAAGCCTTGGCGTACGTAGTAAAATAAAATTATCTGACAAGAATGTTTTTGGAGTGAATACCTGACTTATATGTATAGGTAGGTAGGTATGTACCTCTCAGCCCGACTGAAATTTGAGACAATAATGATAAGGTTGACATTAAATCTTATAAGTAGGTACGGAGGAAGATAAGTAAGGAATCTATTCGAATGAAGTAATGGCTTCGTATAATATACCGATACATCTTCTAGGATGTAGATATGAGATATGTTGAAGTCTTTAAGCCAAATCAAGTCTTACACGTGCAGTAGCGCAGGCCTACTACAAATATATAAGCACATAAGATTGGCCAAACGTCATCCCAGTATACTATGTATTGTACATACATACATAGGTGCCCAAGATATGCACGTTATGCACCTTGTGTACCGGGGTAGAACAGTATCCACTGTCGCAAGACGATGACAAGTGACACCTAAGATCGGCGCCAAGCCAACTGTACATAGCGGGAGTCCCGGCCGCTAATTCGGATTCGTCCAGAATTATGGCATTGTAAACAGGGAGGCTACAATAGTCCGCCATGTCCGCCATGTCCACCATGTCCACTCTGCCATGTACGGAATACAAAGAATACCTAATCACAAATCTTGTCTTCCAGTTACTCTCGGAGGAATATTTGGCTTCAGAAGCCACTTTGAAGCCTTACTTGGCAGCTTGGGTTAGAGAGCTAGTGTCTTGTCGCCTTCCGTTCGTTCCGAATCCTCTATGCACTTATTACACACTCATTTTTTATATCCTATGGCTCGAAATATTACACCCTCTGCCATTGCTGACATAGGCTCTCCGTGAGAGGATTTCTGCCGATGCTTTCGAAACGGTTTGCAATGTGGTTACATTCGTTCAAAATTGCGCATAATGCCTCGAACGTCTATAAATGTAGATTTTGACGTAAAAAAGAAGCAAGGCGTAGACACAATCCCGAAGGCAGCTCGGCAGACCCGGATGCGATTGGAAGCAATTGGAGAAACCGTACAAGAATGCGCCGCGCAATGGTACAAGAGATATTTGCTAGAGATTATATTACGACAGAAGCCTTTAAACCCTTCAAAAGATGGGCGACACGTCCCGCTGCAAGTCGAGCAAGAACAAGTTTTAATCGATGAACGACGCGGCCAACCGTACATATCGAATGCGATTCGAACTTCGAGATATACCTTGATCGATTTCATACCGAAACAGTTGATATTTCAGTTCACACGGCTAGCGAATTTCTATTTCCTCTGCGTCGGTATTCCCCAGGCGATCCCGGGCCTAAGTACAACAGGAAGTTACACGACTATCTTGCCTTTGCTATTCTTTGTTCTCCTCACGATCGTTAAAGAGGGTTACGATGATTATAAGCGTCATCGGTTAGATAATCTAGAGAACGCGAATTCTACAAGGGTTCTAAGACCGAAATCTCGAGGCGTAAATGCTGTTTCGCCGGTTCAAAAATGGTTGACAGGTACATTCAAAAGTAACGGCGCAGATATAAATCATTGGGACGACGGGGACGAGACCGATGGAGACTACGGGTGGAGGCGAGTTGAGTGGCAGGATGTCAAAGTTGGCGATGTCGTCAAGCTAGTTCGCGATGAAGCAGTGCCAGCCGACCTAGTTCTTTTATACGCCACAGGAGAGAATGGACTAGCTTACATCGATACTATGGACTTGGACGGCGAAACCAATCTTAAGAGTAAGGAATCACTTCCGGATTTCCAAGGTTGCCAAGCTATTTCTGGTATTCGCAGCTGTCTAGCCGAGTTCGTCCTCGAGGACCCGAATCCTGATTTATATCGTTTCGATGGGCGTGTTACAGTACGCGGCCGAACGCTCCCTTTAACGTCTAATGAAGTCATATATCGAGGTAGTACACTCAGAAATACTACTTGCGCCATTGGGATAGCGATTAACACTGGAGAGGAGTGTAAAATTCGCATGAATGCGAATCAGCATCCTCGTGCCAAGAAGCCGGCACTAGAAACTATTGCTAACAAGATTGTCATTACTCTCGCCTTCTACGTTATTGTTCTGACGGTCGGGTGCTCCATGGGCTACATCATCTGGCGGAGGTCTACCGAGCGAGTCTCTTGGTATGTCTCCATGGCCACAGTCGAGTTTAAGCAAATCATTATCGGTTATGCAATCATGTTCAACAATGTCATCCCCCTTGCGCTCTACGTCACTCTCGAGATAACTAGGATCGGCCAGATGCTTATGTTAAACAATGACGTGGAAATGTATGATGAGGTAACTGATACTCCGGCTCGGTGCAATACTAATACTATTTTGGAGAATCTTGGCCAAGTCAGCTACATATTCTCTGACAAGACAGGCACGCTCACAGAGAATGTCATGAAGTTTCGCAAAATGAGTATTGCAGGGACCTCTTGGTTACACGAAGCAGATATTCAGTCTGAAGAAGATACAGTGGCGACAGGTCTTGGCCTTGCTGTTGATGCAGGAGTTGCGATGCCGCGCAAGTCCAGAGAGGTTGCTAGTGTGATTCACGAAGATATCGAGCTTTATCCCCTATCGCCAGCGGCATCAAGTGTCACACCTCGGTCAGAAAGGAGGTCGTCGTCGCAATGGAGGTCAAGTGCTCGCCCAGACCATATGCAGCCCAATGTTACAACCTCAGACTTGCTGGAGTATATCAGGTTGAGGCCGACATCGCCTTTTGCGAGACGAGCCAAGGATTACATACTCTGCATGGCTCTATGCCACACATGCTTACCAGAGGTCAAAGATGGGGTAGTCGACTTTCAAGCTTCGTCTCCGGACGAACTGGCGCTTGTCCGTGCTGCACACGAACTTGGATACCTGGTTGCCCACCGGTCATCTCAGGCTGTGACCTTACAAATTGACAACGGGGATGGTAGCCAGAAGACAGAGGTGTACCAGATTTTAGATGTCATCGAGTTTAGTAGCAAGCGGAAACGCATGTCGATTATTGTACGCTTTCCCGACGGGAGAATTTGTCTCATCTGCAAAGGTGCTGATTCAATAATCATGCCTAGGCTTAAATTGGCCCATTTAGCGATACAAAAGGCAACAGAAGTCCGTAAAAGCGTTGAGGTAGAACGTGAATTACTTCGAAGGAGCGAGCAGTTAGATGTGGGAAATAACTTCGGGGGGCGTCCAAGCATAACTTTACGACGGAATATCACAGGTAGTCGAAATAGCATAACCGTTGCACAGCCCACTACACCGGTCAATATCCCGACGATCGTACGGAGCAGGTCCGTTGAAGGATCCCAAACGCGGCACTCTGCAGATAAACTTCGCCCGTCTTTAGGCATACGAACTACGTCTCTCGACGTGACCAAGACGCTATCAAGACTAAGCCCATCAACCCCCAAGCCACCACCGGATAAGTTTGGGTTCCTTGATGATTCCTCTATACATGACGAGTCAATAGTATTCAGTCGATGCTTTAAGCATTTGGATGACTTTGCTTCCGAGGGTTTACGTACTCTCTTGTTTACGCGAAAATTCATACCTGAAAATGAATACGAGACGTGGAAGAAGGTTTATAATGAAGCAACGACAAGTTTAGTAGATCGTCAGGAAATGATCGAAACGGCTGGCGAGTTGATCGAGCAGTCACTCGACCTTGTGGGGGCGACAGCGATTGAGGATAAACTCCAAGTTGGCGTGCCGGAAACCATCGACAAGCTCCGTCGTGCCAATATCAAAATATGGATGTTGACAGGGGATAAGCGCGAAACAGCAATTAACATTGCTCATTCGGCACGAATATGTAGGCCAGGTTCCGATATATTCATTCTTGATTCCTCGAAGGGCTCGTTGGAGACACGGATCAATGATATATCTGAGGAAATTGCAATTGGCTGCACTCATAGCGTAGTCGTTGTTGATGGTCAGACCCTAGCGGTTATCGAGCAGTCAATACGACTTACAGACCTCTTCTACACTCTTATTCCTTTAATCGACTCCGTCATCTGCTGTCGTGCGTCACCCGCTCAGAAATCTTTGATTGTGAAAGCCATTCGGCAGCGAGTGCCAAGCGCTCTAACACTCGCTATTGGTGACGGCGCAAATGACTTGGCCATGATTTCTGCCTCTCATGTCGGAGTCGGAATCTCTGGTAAAGAGGGACTACAGGCTGCTCGTGTAGCTGACTATGCCATTGCACAATTCCGCTTTCTTCAGCGCCTACTCCTTGTCCATGGCCGTTGGAATTATGTCCGCACGGCGAAGTTTATCCTCGCAACTTTTTGGAAGGAAATGTTCTTCTATCTACCAACAGCGATGTACCAGCGCTACAACGGATACAGCGGAACCAGTCTTTATGAGAACTGGAGCTTAACTATATTCAACGCGCTGTTTACGAGTCTGTGCGTCTTGTGTTTGGGTATTTGGGAGCAGGACCTCAGCGCGGAGACGCTACTTGCTGTACCTGAACTATACGTACACGGACAGAGGAATAAGGAGTTAAATATCCCCAGGTTCGTACGTTGGATGGCTGCAGCAGCTGCAGAAGGTGTACTAGTGTGGCTCGGGGTATGGGCTGCCTATAGCGTCTACGGACAGGCCCGCGACGATGCACTTTTTGCGTTTGGCGACTTAGTATTTACGATTGGAGTACTATGGATTAACTGGAAGATCTTGTAAGTCTACATACGCTTGCGCGCTGTAGCATCTTACTGACAAGACTCGCAGTATTCTCGAGACGCATTATAAGTCGGCGGTTGTTATGAGCGCTTTTGGTATTACTCTCGCTGGGTGGTGGGCTTGGCAGGCATTCCTCTCGGGGGTCTATGCAGCGCAACCAAGCCCCTATCCAGCCAGGCACGGATTTGAAGACACTTTTGGCCAAGACCCCCTTTGGTGGCTGACACTAATAGTCATGTTGTTTGTACTCATCTCGATAGAGCTGGTTTACAAGACAGTGAAACGCAACATGATCATCACAGGTACCTGGCAATGGCCGCCATGGAAACAGAGGAGCCCCGACGACAGCTTGGAGGAATGGGGCTTGGAGATTTGGCAGGAATTAGAAAAGGACCCGGTTATGCGCGAGCGGCTGCGAAAGGCATGCATAGAAGAAGGCGAGGTCGAAAACGAGGAACAGGACAGCATTGACCCGGACGACATAATTAAGATTATTTGAAGAAAAAGCATCTGTCGGCGTTTTATGGACCTACACATTTATTTATATGTATATATACCTACCTATATAACCTAACCTATCTACTAACGGCGGTTTGGGTCAGGTTTCTATTGGGATTCTTTTAGGGCATCTCTCTTTTAGGGCATCTCAGGGGTTAAATACCAGGTAGATATATACCCAGCGCGCTGTTTCTACAGATATATACATAGATCCCTATTTTTATATGTACATAAACTATTAATTCATATGTATAATTCATGTCCAATCCCGTCTTTAAAGTCTTTATGTGCAGTTTGTGTATATTGGTAATTTATTTGGATATAAGGCGAACAGCAGGAAACGAGGGAACTTACACTAGCCACAACGAAGCCTACAAACGTCCAGAAACGAGTACTGAGGTCTCAATTGAATCTCGTATTGGGCATTTTTTATATTTTGCATTTTTTATATTTTATAGGACATCATATCGTGTGTAAAGAGTGATGCACACGTCAATTTCGTTTAAGAAACGAGACAAGTCCATCCGCAATACTTGGCATAAATCCTCCCCACCATCGGGGAGTTGTTCTTCACGTCCATCTTGCATCCCGCCGTCTCATCCCACATTCAGCGCATCTAGCCACTAGCCTCCACCGTAGTGTTGCTCACATGCTTCATCTCCAGGCCCTTCAGTCCCTCGAGGTCCTTCAACAGCGGAATAATCTTGGCGAACCCGGGGTGATCGCGCGCCTTCATGTGCGCGTCGACACTCGTCCATCCCAGGATCAACACCAAGGCACTGCTCGGGACGCCGTCGTGGTCGATATCCCGCTCGACCGACCACCCCAGCGCCGTCTCGCCCGTCAAGCCCTCGGCAAACGGGGTCATCTGCCGCGTGAACGCGAGCACGGCGTCCGTGGTGCGCTTGCGCGCGTCCTCGGGGTAGTCGCCCGGAAACCAGATGTGCAGGACCTCGGCGACGGGGGTCTTGCTGTTGGGGCCCGTGTTGTCGAGCGCGGCGACGGGGAACGGCGCAAACTCGACGTGGTACGGGCGCTTGGGCGGGCCGGCGACGGCGCCGAACACGCGCGCTTTGAACGGCGCGTACGCTTCCGTCTTTTCGAAGGCGCGGTGCGCCGTCACCGACTCCCAGTCGGCGAACATGCGCACCGCGTTGACGTCTTCGTGCAGCCGGGACGTGCGCACGCGCAGACACCCCGGCTGTGCGACTAGGGTGGCGGCGGTCGTGTCGAGGATGGAGGCGGCCTCGGCGGCGGGGAGGTCCGGCTTGAGGTCTAGGGCGATGAGTTCTGTGACGGGGGCCATGGCTGCGTTTGCTTTTTATGTTTATGCTACGTAGATGGATCTATGCGTGGCTTGTTCCGATACTGCGGGGGAAATGGATGTTTACGGAAAGCAAATGCGATGTAATTAGAAGGCAGGTTACCTACCTACCTAGGTTACCTTAGTAGGTATGTGGGTGGTTTTATAAATGATGGCCAAGTGAGGGGTTATATATTTAGGTAGTTACCTAAGGTAGGTAGGTACCTAGGTAGGTATGTACGCGGCCGGAACTCCGGGCGATCGCAGATTAAGTCGATAAGAGGGTCGGGTCGTATGGAATGGCGATGGTGGTGGCGTCGTTTCATGTGATAGGCAAATTAGGTGGATTTAGAGCTTGCAATGGGGGTAATACCTAGAGTTACGTTAGGTAACTCATAGAATTTATAAATACCAAATACCAAATACCAAATACCAAATACCAAATACCAAATACCAAATACTAAATACTAAATACTAAATGCATTCAACGCGACATTCACAAAAGTCCCATGATTACTAATTGTTCCCAGGCATAGTATAGCTTTAAGGTATGTATCAATGGATAGGAGTTAATTGTGAACAAGACGGGGTTTAAATAGTAACGTAAAGCTTTATATGATTATACATAAACTAACCGGCTCCACGGAGTCCACGGAGAACTAAATACTTAAATCCATCAACTATTTACACGAATACTAGGTAATTATATGGGTCGAACAATCTACTTCCTCGGTTCAGTCCTTGCTATCCTCGTACCTCGGCCTCTCAGAGCTCGTCTAACCAATCTAACAAGGGATTCAGATAATCGGTAGTCAACACAGGGCCTGGTCCAGCTCCGTTCTCCTTGACCAACGGATAGAAGTCCAAGAAATCCTGCATGAATTCCATATAATACATGAGAACGTACTTGAGTCGGGGTAATACGTGGTGCTTCTCGGCGATTAGGAACCGGACAAGTTGGTAATCCCGCGGCCGGAGTGTTAACTCTAGAGTATACCCCGGCGGCGGGTACCCGGGGAAAACGATGCCTCGCTCGTTCATGACTCTAATGGAGCGGGGCACGATATTCTCGAGGAGGAGCATCTTTAAATTCGGGGGGAACATCGTCGGGATGAGCTCCGGCAACGCGGAATCGTCCATGTATGCGCTGCCGAGGAGATAAATAGGGGGGATTCGAAGGAAATGCAGGTTTTTGAACCGAGTTAAATCCATGCCTTGATCCTCGATAGGGAGCTTCCATCGCCAAGTAAAGTCCAGTATTCTTAAACTCTCCTGAGACGGGGCTAATAGATTGGGGTAGAGCCTCTCTGAGAATGGCAATTGATCGTTATGGCTAATCAAGAGATTCTGCAGTCTGGTTGTTGGAGATAAAAGTTGATTCAACGCTTCGTGGTCATACCAACATAGTTCGAGGAATAGCCCCTTTAAATCGGCATGCTGGAAATAGTCCACATCCAGCTTGCCAAATGCGGAGAAGTCGATATAAGAAAACCGCATACGCCGCAGTCTTCTATGCCGAAATAATACAGCGTCATCCTCCCCGAGTTTGAAAGCTGTCCAATTCTCCCGCTCAATCGAGAAAGTCACTGTCATCTTTGATTAGTATCCATTTCCTTGCATTTAGTCACCAGTAAAACTTACAACTCTTCAAATTCGGCTGCTCCTTAACGAGCTGGTTTAAGGAACGCCTCTTCTCGTCCTCGATACTCAGGGACTCCCCACCGTGTTGCACAACGATGCTTTCGAGATTCGGGAACTTGATGCCCATGAGCTGCCGGTACGCAACCGGATGGAACTCGTCGAGGACGAGAAACCGCACCGCGCCGGCGATGTAAGGCCGCTTAAGCAGAAACTCAACTAACCCACCGGTATCATGGCCTGTGCCGGCTCTGGTGAATACTCTACGGTAAAGCAGCGGCTCTACAATCCCCTGTGCTCTTCGACACGTCTGCAGGAGCGAGGCCTGATCACGAACGCCAAGATATCGCAATATCCACCACTGGATCTCCAAGGGGAGACCGAGGAAGTAAGCGTGACCGCGCGTTGACGGCATGATGGAAATTCTAAAACGTACCGATCGTCAATAGTATAACTACGAGAATCACCCACCGTGAACAGAGCTTATCCGCAGTTTAAAAGTAGGACGCCCGGGTTCCCTGCCTCCCCCCCGCAGACCTGAGTAAGTTGCACGCATCCGACTATGCAGCAAGCGGGGCGAGGACCATAAGCTCCGGCGCGGACGGTATTTATGTACCTAGCCGGAACCGCAAAGGGGGTGCGGGGGGCACATTGCATATGTATGTATTCGCCTTCGGGATCTACCGAAAACCGCCGTGCTAAAAACCAACCATCTGCTACAAACATCGGACGATAACGCCTTTTAAATCCCAAGCGTCCAACAGACAGCATGTGATGTAATACATACCTACCTATGTACTCTGCAACGCGCGAACTTCAATGACGTCATGACCGGCGGTAGACCGCGGCGACGCTATAAATAGAGACTAGGGTAGACGAGCCGAGAGGCTTCTACAAAATTCCGGAATCCGGAGACGTGTCGTGACAGGTAGGGTAGAATCTATGCAATTATGTAGTAGGAGGCGCAAAGTTGAAGATGCCATCAAGTATGTACGGCACATCGTTTAATTACTACTAACTACTCAAAGTTAGATCAATCATACGTCCGTCGCTTTAAACAACGGCGATAGCACAGATTCATGAAGCATCGCTTTTGGAATATTTACTACGAAGTACATATGTTCGATACACTAGCCGCTTCGTGTTATTCAAACAGCTTTCCGCTTGCATGAGGGCACTCCCTAGCCTGAGTGCTAGTTCAGACTTCATCTATAGCCTCTAGCTATCGCATTCGGCGGCTGGCTTCGCGGCTCTCGGCTTCTTTTTGCGCTTGCTACTCCCGGCGCCGGATCCCGTCGGCGCCTCGCGTATCCACCTCGCGACCGCCTCCGCGCGTTCTGTCTGGATAGGGTACTCCCTTCCGTCATCTACAGCCCAGCGCTTAGGGCCGGCATGCGGACTAGGAACGCCACCGTTGGTGGAACTTGCGTGATCGGCTTCGGCTCTTCGCTGTCGGGCAAGAATCGCTGCTTTGAAGCTCGCCTCATCATTGACACGCTCGTCCTCTAGAGCTTCGATGATAGCTTGTTGCCGCATCCGCTCCTTCCGCTGCTCCTCAGTTTCGGCAGGGGGTGTACCACTGGTGATCGATAGGGCGTTGACGCTTGCGGTCGCGGTAGATACCCCGTTTGTCGATACGGGGATCGGCAGCGGGGCTGGGGCGCAGAGAGCCTCCCAACTCGACGAGAGTTCAATCCAGTTCTCCGCTCTTCGGAGGACCTCAATCCAGTCCGCTCGAGCGGGAGACCTACTTGCTTGGAAAACCGGATAACCATCGGCAAGACGAGCAAGTCGCGCAACCATGTGCGCATGGCGCTGGAGCTCTTTTGCCGAAGTTTGGATAAGGGTATGACATAGTAGCAGCGAATGTAGCGCGTCAGTCAGTAAGGGGTGGTAAGTGACCACCTCGGTAGTTATCTGAATCGACTCCATAGTAGCACTGCCTGGAGATACGAGGTCCGTCGAGGGATACGGCGGCAGGTCTGCGGGAGGTGTGGCTGAGAAAAGGGAGGACAGCTCGTATACCGTATGGCTAGGCGAGGTTCTCGTAGGGCTACTCGGGTCCTGAGATGCATGGCGAGATTGGCTATAGTACCTTTTGCTACGATGAGTCGCCTGATTTACCTGACGACTGAAATCATCCGACACTTCAATAGGTAGGTTGGGCGAATAGTGGAAATGCTTGAGATACTCCATGTAATCTCGTAGCGCACGCTTCGCGTAAACACGTACCGCCTTGCGCACTTCTAACAACCTCTTGGACGGGCCTTTGTTCTCTGGATCCTCTTCCGCTTGTGGTGGCGCTGAATCGCCATTAGTAGTGCCATTACTGGCCCCGTTCGTACCGTTCTGTGAATTCGCATTCTGCTCAATAACCGAATCAGGGAGCGCGAGCGCAACATTATCACAAGCTAGAGTGAGGTAGCAGCCAGCCCGCTGAAATAAAAGCTGTACTTCTATACTGCTTGGATGGTCTCTTTCGTCAAGAGGGGGATTATCTCGCCGCCGCCGAGTTTTCTGTTCGAGTTGCATAGACTCGTCCGATGCTGGTTTGTGCCGCGGTTGTTGAAGACGGTACACTCCTATCGCAGAGGTAAGATCACGAACGGCACCTTCGAAATCATCCTTGAACATTCGGACGATGGCACGAGTCCTCAGGGGTTCGCAATCAGAGGGCCGTTGTCCTATTATAATATCCAGGGCGCGAAAGTCTGTACATTCAGCCAGTTGCCTCGACGGGATCTTTTCGTGGAAGAAATGAACGTAGTTGGCGTCAGGGTCATCAGGTGCTCTTAGTAAAACAAGGCTGGCGACATTTTCCAAAGTCGATGTAGATTGCATCGTCGCCACACTCGATGCTATCTCATCCAAATGATAGGCGCGCGACAACTTCTGGGTAGCTTGCTCTCTCATTCGGAATTTCCGCTCTGGACTAAGTTTTGCGCCGGCATTATTCCCAAACCCAAGTCCTAAGGCTTGCATATGATGCGCAGTTCCTCCCGCCAGCGAATTAGATAATGTTGAGGATGCGACGCCATTCGCAGCTCGTACAGCCAGATCCGTAGCACCGTCCACGAGCTGTCTTATCTTCACCAGGTCGTAAAATACTGCAGGGTCGACAGGGCGCGGTAACGGCATGTAGTAGTTGGCATTAGCCAGGGTCTCGAGGACTTCGAGCGGTAGCTGCAGCCATGGTCCATGGAACGAGGATATGTAACGCCAGTGTCTGTGGTAGCGAATTATAAGCTACCAATATATATACACTTATAGTCAATAAGGTATAACTCACTTATTCCGGCAAATTACAAGCGCAGATGAGGAAGACGACGACTGAGGCGCAGGAGAAGTTGGCTTCTTTTTATTCGCTGTCGAAAGCGCTGTTGAAGAGTCTGCAGTAGCTTGTGCCTCTATAGTAGGAGATTCGCCCGCTGTGGGCTTCTTGTTCTTTTTACCCATTGCGCATTGGTGGTAAACTTGTTTAGGTACTCCCAATAGAAATGTAGACGTAGTATATGAGGTGTGATTGATACTCGAATCGCTGCAGTATTTACACAAGAGGACTAGACAGTACTGGACAGGCGGACGAACTACGGCGATAATATATACCGTCGTAAATAGCAAAGTCGCAAATAGCAAAGTCTCGGCAACTTACAGCTATTTGCTCCTGAAGTTGAATTAGCTACGAAAGCAGAACAGAAAGGCTCAATTGCGTCGGCGATTCGGCGTGGCGCGTTTATTTTCTTATCGAAGGCTAATAAAGCCTATTACATGCCTTTATCGCCACGTGATGACCATTTTGTTCTCTTCTTTTGTCTTTACCACTTAGTGTAACTATAGGTAGCAAGTATATTAATTAATCATAGAGGTAAGTCAGGTACTATAGCATAGCAAGGACAAAGAGCTTAGTATTCTTCAATTTTCAAAAGCTTCTCATAACTACTCTTCCTACCAATCAGCTAAAATGACGATCAGTATACTAGGTTAGGTAAGTGATAGTGCCCACTGTTATCTATAGTTATACCTACATGTGGGTAACCCAGGTAAGTATAAGTATACATATATCCATAGAACCAGCCTCGAAAAAATATACTTTCAAGAGATATCCTAACTCCCCTCAAAATCTAAGATCGGTATGTAAAGTGCGCGTAAGTTGAAAACATGTTGTAGTTACCACAACTTTATCATGTTAGTTTCCTTTAATCTCTCTTTTCCACGCCTTCTTTACTTCTTCTAGGAGACCATCCTGCGTCAAGACGTCTACGGCAGTACCTGCGAGCGCCTTACCTACACGCAGACATCGCTCAAATGCAACCCTTGTTCCGGCCGCCTCAGCGAATTCCGGATTATGAGGTCCGTTCCCTCCCGGTCCCGGTGGAATCGCAAACCCTGCACTCAAGCTAGGCATAGCGTAACTTATATCACCTTGGTCCGTACTAGCCATTGTTCGGCCATCGGCCTCATCCACGCTGTCGTTCTCCGGAATAGGCTGCGGAGGCGAAAGTGCATTGAAATACTTTCGATAGGAAGCGCCTAGCACCCGGTTGGGGACGTGGTTGGCGTAAGACTGCACATGAGTCATCTGAAGTCTGGCACCTGTTGCTGTCGCTCCAGCTTCAAAGCAAACATCAACTTTCTTCTTTAGTTCCTCCAGCCTCCCTTGGGTGTTTGCACGGGCTACGAAATTACCGGCCGTATATGCATGGATCACATTCGGCCGTACCCCACCATCCGTAATATTTCCCTGGATGACATCACCAGGCATTGTTTGCTGACGGAGGACGGATAATGCATTGTAAGATGTGATCAACGCGTCAAGAGCGTTGATGCCCAACCAGGGACTTGCTGCTGCGTCTAAGATACTTAAATCAATATTACCCTTTCTAAGTGTATAGGAAGACTGTTCGAATCAGCTTACGAGCCTCGCGGCCGAAGTATTCGACCTGGAATGCGGTATACGCAGACGTCCGCATTAGGGCAGTGTCTTTGGTAATGCCAGGATGAGATATCAAGTTGATATCGACCTTGTAATCTCGATAGGCCCCGGCTTTCAGCAACTTGATCTTGCCGCCACCTCCTGTAAAAGATCAGAATCTGAGTCGGGAAGACGATTGATATCGTCTAAGTCTTGTTTACCTTCTTCCGCGGGAGTTCCGAACATGACAACTTTCCCACTCAATTGATATTCCTCCATTATTTTGGCTGTCGCTAATCCACCTGCTACAGATGCGGTAGCGATGAGGTTGTGACCACACGCATGTCCAATGCCATCCAACGCGTCTACGCACTCAGTTAGACATCCTCGCATCACTAATTAATTCGGCGTGACATACCCATTTCAACGTTGAAGGATACAACTGGGCCCTTCTTCCCGCTATCAAACACAGCAACCCAAGCTGTAGCTAAACCATAGGCAGATGGCGTCACCTTCCATCCTGGCCTACTGGCCATGAATTTTGTCAGTGTCTCATGAGCAATGAATTCTTCATAGCCAAGCTCTGGGTTGTCGTGGATCTTCTTATTGACTGGCCATAAGTCATCTGCAATGCTGTCGATGAATTCGCTAATATCGCCTAGATAACCCGGCTCGGACTGAGCGAGGTCGGCGTCTTCATGGGTAACGAAGATAAAATCGTCCAACTGTTGTTCCATCTTGCTAGAGACTTCCTTATAAGCCTAATCGTCGCCTCTAGTGAGAATATACATGCATCAGAAATATGATGGATAGGGTATAGTGAGTAG